CTACTCTATTACACAATTATTTTTTTAGAAATGCCAAAATCTTATGATATTCTCAAATCCTAATCTACAAGAAAGACCAAACGGAAAGATTGATATAATTCAAGTCTGGAAAATATTGTGGCCGTCATCATTTTGCAAGATAATTGGGAAAATGTGTTTCGCACTATTTTAAAATGCGTTTAGCTGTGGGGCAGGAGTAGAGTAGTGTTGGAAAATCTACTTTTGTCTTAAAAAATTCGGTTGCTAAAAGCATTGCAACCTCCAAACTAAGTTTGCGATAAAAAAAATGTTGTTTTAAACTTTGTCCAACTCACTTTTAGTACCCCTATGAATTAAAAATAAAAAATAAAAAGTTAAATTAAATTATTATTTCCACCACACAGCCTTTCTATTAGATTATATGCAAATAATTAAATCGATGTTATATGATATTGAACATATTTTCGGTCCTTGATATTTATTTATAAGCAATAGATGAAAACTCCCTATTAGCTATTTGATATCTACAAAGAACGCTGACATAAGCACTTATAAAAAAAAAAATTTTTTTTCACTATCCCTAATAGAATTTCATGAAATTTAAATACCCAAAAACTGCGAACTCAAAACCTCTTCAAATATTCCCCACATAATGGAATAACTGCGCGAGAATGAAAATCATATTTCTATCAACCTCACAAACTTTCTCAATTTTTTCCAGTTTTCTAATCCCGGTAACAGACTGGATTTAAACTGTTTGAATTATTCAACTTCTGTTATTTGAATGAAATGGCTGGGGAATTTTTTTTTAAAAGAAAATATATTCCGAACGGCGAAGGAAATCCGATCACGTTCGTATTTATGGAACGTGGACATTTAACTGCGTTTTTATTGTCAAGAAAAGAAAGTAAATGCTTTTTACTTTTTATTCATGTTGACAGTATCAGACTACACACGTAGGGGTTGTCTATAAATATATATCATTATCAATATTTTAGTAATTTTAAACCACAGTTGATATCATTTAGATAACTTCTCTCTTCTAAATAATATCGTTCTTTGACCAATAAATCCATTTTACTCTGCCGAGTTTTTCTTTCCCCTGAATACTATTATGATTTTCTTATTAAATGTACAGTGACGAAGATAAGAAGCGGATGACCCTGAATAACTTTTGATCTAACGATCGTATCTTCGCGTTCTAGGACTTAATCTTAAAGGTCAAGAGAGTTACCTCAAATATGCTAATTAATTAGTGCGGACGATATTTTTTATTACAAAAGGAGACGCAAAAACGTACTTTCTCTGAATAAACATACCTTTTTTTCGTAAGAAGAAAAGAAAGAAATTTAATTCGTAAGAAATTTAATTTCGTGAGAAATTCAATTGTTCAGAAACTATTCAACCGATTTTACTCAAATTTGTATGTTGCCATTTTAAATTGCATTTTTTAAAATGGTGTTAAAAAAATTTTATGCCTTACAATTTATAATTTATTCAATTTTTTTCTTATTTTTACGTAAAGTATTAAAAAATTATAAATAAGTACTAAAGTTATATTTTGCATGGAATAATAGCTGGTTAAACGAATTTTATAATTGCTTGAAAGAATTTTTTAATTATAAAGTAAAATTACAAACAATTACACGGAAAGAAAAATAAGTATTTTGGGGGTCCAAGCTTTGAACCGCTCTTTTGAACCAACTATTGAGACCATATTTCCCAAATTGCAGCTAGCTCCTATATTTTGAGGGTCAGAAATCCGAATACGTCAAATGAAAGACATGTTTATTCAAAGGTACGTTTTTGCGTCTGATTTCATTATTTAAAATATCATCGGCACTAATTTAGTAGCATAATTGAAATCACCCCTTCAAATCTTAAAAATTGAGTCCTAGAACGTGAGATCCGATCAGTTATCTTGGGTGGTCCAAAAGTTCAAAATGTAGAGTAAACATGGAAAAATTACAGAACAATGAAAAAAGGGAAAAAGAAAAATAATAGTAATAAAAATAACAAACATCTGGGGGGGGAGTTGTTGTTGTTGTTAATTTACGTCGCACTAGAGCTGCACAATGGGCTATTGGCGACGGTCTGGGAAACATCCCGGAGGATGATCCGAAGACATGCCATCACAATTTTGATCCTCTGCGGAGGGGATGGCACCCCCGCTTCGGTAGCCCGACGACCTGCGCGCGAAGTCGAGCACTTTACGGTAGCACAGTTTAACGAGGACCAATACCGCACACCCTCGGTCCCTACGTAGACTGATCCAAGTGGTCACCCACCCGCACACTGACCGCAGTCAGTGATGCTTGACTTCGGTGATCTGCTATGAACCGTGTCTTAACGATCAGTCCACTGCGGGACACATCCGGGGGGGGGGAGATGCAGCTTTAGTGCTTAATATTATCTTCTATTAACTTATTTCGTTTTCCTTCTATTTCGTGTGTTTGGGACGTAGTGCGTGCTTAGGACGTTGCTCTATGAGCCTATTTTTTATGGATTTAGACAGTTATAACAATTTAGCTCCTGGTCAAATATATGTGAAATTATTCTTCATGTTGTAGCCGGTACGAAGAGCCTAATTCAAAGAGGACCTTCAGATCGACATCCTGCTACTGTGAAAGCAAAATCGAAAGCAAACGAATTTTTGAATTACATTCTAAACCTGAAATTTTACCGTCTTATAAAGCGTGTGGCGATAAAAGAGGCAAAACTTGCCCTAATATCAACGAAAAACAATTTTTAATAACGATAGCTCCAAATCTTTTTGTAAAGTTAGAAATGTTATTTATATGTTAACCTGTGGTTTTTGTAACATGAAATACGTTGGACAAACCGGTAACTCTCTAATATTCGAATTAATCAATACCGTTCAGATATAAACAGTAATAAAATTATCAATAACCTGGAATTAAATCATTTTAGAAAACATAATTTTAACAGTGTCGAAATTAATATTTTAGATATGGTAGAAGATTTGGATTTAAGACTACAAAAAGAAAATTACTACATGTTTTTTTACAAAACAATTTTGTCGTGTGGGCTAAACGATACCTTTCAACAGACACAGATCAACTTTAATAACTCCTCAACTTATTCACTTTTTTCATTTTAAAGATTAGCGTACAAATCAAGGTAAACGGGGATCAAGAAATAATAGAATCTCTCTTAATAGTGCCAAGTTAAAGATAAATTTTATTTCTAATACATGAAAAAAGATTGTAATAAACATCATAATATTAAACCAATTAAAAATATTGTTTTCTCCCTTAAGATAGGTTTGTGAGGCTGGTGGAAATATGACTTTCATTCTTGCGCAGTTATTCCATTATGCGGGGAATATTTGAAGAGGTTTTGAGTTCGCAGTTTTTGGAGATTTAAATTTCATGAAATTCTAATAGAGATAGTGAGAAACTCTCCCTTAAGATTTTCTCCTGATGATTATAAGCTTCAAGATCTTATTATTAACTTTTCCTTTATTATTTACACTTCAAAATTCTTTGTTTCGATCTTTTAAAAGCTAAAATGAGCAAAATTTCTCCAAATGAAAAGAAAAATTTGATAATTTATGTTTCGTTAATAACTTTCTAAACCCTATTTTTAATATAATCAAATTTCATAATATTTTTGAAAATTTTAAAATTTAATTTCCATTAAAAGATTTAAAATAATTAAAAAATTTTAATATAATTAAAAGATTTTAATATAATTAAAAGATTTTAATATAATTAAAAGATTTAAATATAATAAATCTCTTGGCAGAACTATATTTAATTATAAAGATATAAGCAAAAATTTAGGGAGGATTAATATATCCGATTGAGAATGCCACTGTGAAGAAGAGAAATATTTTGATTTTGTTGATAAACATCATAAACATGTTATTACTGGTTATTTAAATATTATTGAAAACTTAGAACTTAGGAATTTAAGGATAAAAGGCACAAAATTTAGACCCATTTACCATACATCAATTAATAAAGTTCTAAAATACTTTCTAAATGATCTCCACCGTTTTTGTTTAAAGATATCAAATAGATTCCCTTTACCTTTACGTATGCTAACAGAATGCAAATTTGTATATACTCATTTGCATCGCAGATCTATAATTTAATTGAAGGGTAGAAAAATAATTTCTGCTCCTTAATTAGTGTCATTTAATTAGTGTCACTCTTTAAATTCTTGTTCTATACTTTGCATCTGAAACTTAAATTTTTATGAAAGCATCAATAAAATTTTTGAATTGTTTTTTTTTCTTTTAAAAAAAGTATAAAAATAGCGATAAAAGGGAATTTGAAAGAAATTTGTTAAAAGTATTTGCAGCCTGAAACTGTGAATTTTTTGAGCCAAGCATTTTTTTCTCATATCACTTACAAAGACTGCAATCTGCGTAATGCTTTTGAAAAATAATTTTTCTTCAAAAACAAGCGAGCATTTTAGTAGAAAATATCAAAACATTTAGTGATATAATGGGAACTTAAAAATTTTGGCATTGCAGAATTTGAATTTTTTATAATCATTAGTTTCTATTCATGTCACTCTTAAAAATGGAACTATAAAAATTCACCTGAAATAGCCAAAGGTCAGCTATTGTCGATCGAAATGGGCTACAGAAGGCGTAGAGCAGAACTCTTTACCTATGGCAACACGTCACAGGCTTTCACCAGTAGCGTGTGGAGAATCATAGAAGAAGGAAGTACGTTAGTTTATTACTTGATTTTCAAATAGAATAAAATCTTTAACAGTAAGTGACATGGAAATTTTGAAAATTATTTTTAACAATTAAACCCGAAAAATAATAAGAAAAAGAAAAATGTCGCTGCACATTCCATTAACATTCAACTACATACAACTGAAAAGAGGGAAGAGACAAAGACATGGAACCGGTTTTCTCACTAGATAGCGCATTCGAGCGTCGCGATTGTGTACGACTTGTGGTGACGTCAGATGTTGCATAAATGCGACGATGGGAATACAGTCGCATTGGTTTCATAAGCAGAATATAAGAAGTGCAGAAATAAGCAGCTAAATGCCTTATGATTATTTTAGAGAAATATAAATAAAGCTAAAAAATATATGACAGATAAACGTTTCTGGTAAATAATAAACTGAATTTGAAGAAGAACCTCAGAGCTCATATAAATCTTGATAGACTAAATTAAGCCTTACCTATTGAAACGCAGTGCTATAAGCGAAAGCAGAGAGCACGCCGCACTTTACTATACTCAAAATATAGCTACTTTGGCTTTCTGAAATTGAAATTCTAATGTGTTATTTGTTAGATTAAAGTAATTATTAATTCTGTGATTTTAACTTTTTAAGCGCATTACTTATCAACACTAATTAATTAAAATGATCAAGCTTTTAGTTTTTTGAAGTTAAGTTATAGAAAAACGAAATTAAACTATCTTATCGTCCTTTTTTCAAAATTAAGTGCTTTAACTGACTTGATCGCAATTCAAGTATTTGCTTGACTCATTTTCTCGTAGCTTATTTTTACTTCTTAATTGGATATTTTTACTTATATCTCATGTTTCTATGTAATTTTGCACATTTAATGAGCCGTCTAGTTTTTACTGCCCATAAACCCATTGTTTATTCTTATTTATTAATAATTTTTGGAAATTTGAACTTTTTTCTCGAAAAAGGTTAAAATGTAGAATTGGCGGCCTCTCTGATGTTTGGCAACTTGAAAACATGCCTATGTATATATATATATAGTTCGTTCACCAGGAGTTGAGACTTGGCTCCACCTCCTCGGACGCAGAGTTCATTTCAGCGCGGGGGAGTAAGAGGAAAAACATCTCCGTTGTTGAAATTGAGACAACCCTTAATTTGCGCCAAACATATAAAGTGAATTCTTTTTCACTTACTTTGCTTTATCATCTGCTAATATACCTTTTGTTACACTAGCTTATTTAATATAGTTTAAATTTAGAAACTGTTGTTCTCCCAGCGAAATGTCTCATAAAGGACAAACTATTCACTCAAAAGAAAGAAATATCATAAAAATTAGTGTAAAATATCATCAAATTTATGAAATATTCATTGTTAAAAAAATGCACATAAAGTTTGCGAAATAAATATTTTTGCCAAACGNAATTTTCAACATTTCCAAGCATCATTTTGTTTGGCATATTACATTACTGAAGAATGTCAAGTCATTCTTGACTTAGAGTTTGTTAGTAGTTACAAGTTTTGAAAGTTTTGTTTAGCTTATTTCTAATATTTAAGCAATGCCAAATTTTAAATTCTTCTTTTTAGTTCTTGAATTTATTAATAGTTCCAAGCTTTTTTGTTTGTTTGATTATTTCTAACAATTAAGAACTGCAAAATTTTGAATCCTTTGCAAATCAAGCTATGATAAAAGTATCACTATTTTCAATAAGTATGTAACAATATTTCTATATGAATGTATATCCTTCTATAAGAATACATGTATATAGTTGCAAAATCAATAGCAATCATTTACAACGTTCATTTATAAAGGCAATTATATGAAAATAATATATTGTCCGCTATATGTCATAAATGAAAGAAAACAGACGGTTTTTACCACTGTCATGTCAAAGACCAGTTTTTGACGGCAAAAACCCAACCCTGATATATACATATGAATATAAACCCATAACCAATCCCACAGTGGTAAATGGGACTTGTGGTAACCCGATGCTGTCATTAAAGAGAGAGACAGGAATAAAAGAATATCATGGCAACCTGAAACTGATTTTCAGCAAAATTTGACAGTTGAAATTTGGAATAATGCCTTATTGTGATCTGGCGCACCAACTACAATTACCAAGATGTCAAATAGATTTTAAACCTGCAAATTTTTTTTTAAAAAAAACATGTAGATGTTTGCCCAGGGGGTAGAGGCTACAAGTTATACCCTTTCTGTGATTTATTTTAGTTTCTCAAGATCCACTGCCCGGAAGTTGTCAAAACTTGTCAATTATTCTGCCACAGATCAAGTTATAGAAATCTTCCCTTAAAATTTGTCGTCAACTCAAGGGCCCCTCCATTCTACACTTTAACCTTGAAAAAATTATAAACAAGCTAGTACATATGTAACATATTGTGTTGTGTCTGTAATTCCCAGTTTTATTTTTTAAGAGAGTTTTAGATTAATTAATGTAACTTAAAATATTGGAGCAAGTATAAATGGCACCAAAACTTATTTTAACAACAATAATTATAACTGCATGATTTTTTAACTATGTTTTTTGCGGTAAAAACCTGCAAATGTGAACATTTCTAAGAAATTGTCTTCCAAACACTTTGTTTTTATTGACTAACTTGCTAGACTGTGATTAAAGTTTTAGTGCCTTTGCTGCAGTACGTGATGAAATTTTGAAAAAAGAAGTGTTTGGCACAGTGGTTTTAATACAAATAAAATGCTCATTTTAATTAACAAAACACGTCAGGAAATCAAACAGGAAATATTTTAAAATTTTTATTTTATAAAACTTGTTGCAGTTTTTAATTTTTATTTTCTTAGAACATTATGATCTCATCTGCTTTTAAGACGCACATTACACAATTGTTGCCGCCAATAACTTATAAGAATATTAATTTAATTAGTATATAATTAGCTAATACCAAATTTAAATGCACATTTCTAAATTGTGAGTATAATACATTGGAAAGTTTCAAATATAATTAAGTTAGGTTGCAACAATGAAATTTCATTTTTCAGGTAATATTATATTTGTATTGTAGTTTTCCACTATATTTTACTAGGGGCAATTTTTTTTATTTTTGTGATATTTCTATGTCAGATCATAATTATACCAACTACAAATAATATGGCACTAAAGTGAAACTGCATTATTCTTGGAATAAGTTGAATACATTTTTATTTATTGGCTTCTTTGGAGTTGGCTATGTATTTTAATCTTCAAGTTTGCCTCTTCTGTGATTTTTTTTATTTATTTTTTAGTTATTTGTTTGGTATAGCCTTGTTGTTTTCAAGACACCAAGGTTACATTGGAACCAGATTGGATACGGAAATCTTCCCTTTTGTTTATAAACATTCAACACACTAGATTAATTTTACATATAAATTACCCTTTTCATTAACTTTTTCATATTATAGTTTTAGTATTTTTTAAAATGTTTTTTTTGTGTGTGTGTGTGTTTATTACTAAAAATGAAAATATTTTTATAGTAAAATGTTTGAAAACAGACAAGATACCAATCTCCTACGTAACTCTCTGATATCTTCATCTAAATGCTTGAAAGATATACAAGTAAGTATTTTAAAAATATAACATAACAAAACTCAAGTAATTAAGTCAATATATTAAAATCTGCAACTTGAATCATAATTTTATTCACTTTTTTTATCGTAAAAATTATTGATTTAGCTCCTTCATGAAAGCAATGCTTAAAAAATTTTTTTGCCTTTTGAAGAAAATATAGCCTTTTTAAAGTGTAAAATAAATTAGACTGTCTTATAAAACATTTTTATGCATATGAACTTCTAATTAACTAATAAAAACTAATAACTTAATCACAAAGAAATAGTAAAAATTGTCAAATAATAAGCATTAAGTATCATTTATATTTACTATTTTGCATTTATAGTCGAACCTTGTTTATGTCATATAAAAAGTAATTCACACTTTTAGCTTGAAATATTTCTTAAAAGAATTGTTCATTATGCAAGCATTTTATATGAACTGTGTGAAATATGTTTTCTAAACAGAAATTCCTATTTTGAATCTGTAAAATGATGAATATTTTATTTTTACTGATAAAAGTTTTTATTTTTCAGTAAATTCTTTAAAATTTTTTCATTCTCATAATAAATACAACAAATTACTTTTAGAGTTACAGAAACAAAGAAATATATATTAGTTAATAAAATGAAATCTGAAAAGTCTGTGGCACATTTTTGTTTTAAAAAAATGCTGACTGCTAACCACAGTATTTTATAATGAAATTTTAAGAGAAAAAAGTTGTTTTGATCTGTTCCAGTTTTTACCAGTAGAACAGTATTACTGAATGAAAATGTAGAAGTTTTTTAAGAAAACATTGAGGGGAAATTGTCTCCCTTAACATCTTATAGGCTAAAAAAGACTTTCAGTCGTATTATAGCGCAAAAAAAACTTCTCCTGAAATTTTGTAAATGAGAATTTTTGTTTTAGTCATAACTCTTCTCAGCCACATATAATTCAATTAACTCTTCCATTTAACATCAGTAATGGTTAAATTAGCAGAACTATAATAAAATATACAGAATATTCAATACCTACTCTTATTACTTGATTAAAAAAACTTCATCTGCTACAAAAATATATAGATTGAAAATAATGGTCAACATGCTTCAAGTTCTCAAAAATAAGCATCCATTCTTAAGACTTGACAGATGTGAATGATAAGTAATAATAGTGATTTGAAATATAAGACATAAAGTTGCCAACAAAAAATGGAATATAAAGATGAGAAACAAGACTAGAAAAATTTCAGTAATCAAAAAAGAATAAAAATAAACATGAAAAGGAACAGAACGAGAAAAACCACTGTGGCTGAAAGGGGCAAATCAAGGTAAAATGCACTCGCTAAGGAGAGGTGATAAGAAACTAATGTCGTTACAAAAAAGAATCAGCATTCATATAAATAAAATAAGATTCCAAGGCATCAAGATAAGCTGATATGACTAAAATGGAAATAGTTTGGACATTGTAAAAATTGAATTTATGTCAAAGATTCCAACAATGCGCAGCAATTGATTATATCTCGTATTCTTAATAATAGACATATCTATCTAGCATATGAGAACATTACACATTCTCTAGGATAATTTTTTATTTAAATTAACTTTATTAACTATTTCTTAAATAAAATCATAAACATGTAAACGAAACAATGAACATTTGTGCGAATCAGTAGCATCTTTTAGTTATTGACCTCTGGATTGGAGGTGAAATTTTCTTAATTTCTATCACTGCTTTATGATTAATAGAGAAATTCAAGAAATTCTTTTTTGTAGAGAGTTAAATAACTCTTTAAGTTCCTCTCATAACTAAAACAAAATATTTATTTTTAGATAAATCAAGGATCCTGCAGCTTAAAAGATGAAGGTACAGCTGCACAGGTTGTAGCATCAACAATCAATTCTATGACAAGTAATTTATATGGAATCAACACTTTTCATGAGCTTTTTCACCAGCAGCAAAATATCAAAAGACGATGCCATGCTGTAGTGTTTATCAACTTGTTAAAGTAAGTTTCTTTCTTCTTGCATGTTTTCTGTTAAAAATAATTTCACTTAATAATTTTTAAAACTGTGTATGAATTTTTATTAATAAAATAATAAATAATAATAGTGTAATTTTAACTAAAAGTTTCTTCGGTGCTACTTAGTACACCAATAAGACTTGCATCTAATCCTCTAATTAATATTTTGTATGATGATGTGACTTCTTCACTTTCTTCAACCCTTTGTTAAAAGTATTTCTATCAATTCTTATATTTAATATTAAGAAATTTTCTTAGGCAGGGTTATTTATACTCTGATAAAGAAAAAAACTTACTGATGCTAAGAGATATTTCCATTATTGAGTTTTTAAAAGGTGAAAATAAAATAGTTTTTAAATGCTTTTTTTTTTTTTTTTTCCCCAATGAGCTGCACAATCAGTCTTCCCAATGAACAGACCTAGTGCGTTCTCCAGAAGTGGTATCCACTCTTTCAGGACCACCACAATGGGTGAGATACCGTTGGCCATGTTAATTTGGACGTCTAGTTTCTGCCACACTAGATGGCAGCACCGAGACTCTATTTGGATGCTAAAGTGCACTAGGAATTTAATTTTGCCGGAAATGCCAAGAGCCAATAAGGCACTCCAGGGATCTTTTACATGCCGCATAATCATACGACATGGCCATTGAGGATTTTCTGCATCATGAAAATCCAGTGTCTAGGCCAGGGATCGAACCCACAGACTTGGGCCCTGAAGGACGAAATTTAAATGTAAAGATATTTCAATTATAGAGTTTTTAATAGTCAAAGTTTTTACTACTCTTGATATAATACGAGTAAACAAATCATGCAAAAAATGGTGTATATACATGAATATTCATATAGGTATGAATGAAGTAGAGGGCCAATTATCTGTATCATTAAAGCCATAAGTTTGTTTTGTTTGTTTTTTTAATCTTTTCCGAAAAATTTCTGACAATGCTTCTTTATTTTTAGAATATCTGAAAGAAAAAGAAAATGATTTTTTTCTTTTTTTTATTTTGTTTCAATGTGAGTGACAACTGGCAAGTAGTTTCTAGTACGGGGTCTCATTTTTATTTCTTCCAAAAATTTGAAAAGAGTGGTGAAACACACTTTGAAATACTCTCACTCAATCTTAAAACACATTTTGTTGGCAAATTTTGTAAATAATAAAATGTTACAAAAGTTGAATCTTATAAACATGTCATTTTTAGTTTGCTATAATAGGCTCAACTACAATTGCCAGTCCTAAGCCTGCAAAAAGTGTGAAGAGAAGGTACATACAAACCTTCTCATAACCGTTAAATGATACAGTGGTTTGTAACACTGTTCAGCATTATGATTACCTTTTGTGATTGAACACATTTCTTTATTATTTTTTCCTATGCAGATAATCAAAGTGATTAAAAAAAATAAAGTAATATTAAAATTGGATCTTTTTCTTCGATTTCTTTTTCTTCTGTAGCTACTATAATTTTTTTTTTCTTTTTGCTTTATAAAAAAATAATTCAAATCAGTACAGGAAATATTCTGTTAATTGAATTGAATTATTGTGAAATAATAAACCCCGAAATATTATATGACTTCTATTTTAATGAAATAACCTATATTTCTTGGTATACATTTTTAAGTAAAACTGAATGTTTGAATTGTAAAATTAACATACTGCATAAAATGTAATCCAGGCTGAATGGAAACTTTTATTTGTTTTAAGTGAGACTTTTTTTTTTTTCGACATTGCCCTTTTATCTATTTAGCATTAAAATTTCTCTAAGAAGCTAGATTATCTAAGTGTAGAACTGTCTTTTTATAGATTCAAAATCTATTTGTTGTAAAGTTTTGATTTTCCATAATTTTTCCTTAGCACTTAGGAATATTTTATTTTATAAGATTTTTTTTTCCTCTTGCAACTTTTAAAAAATAATTTTAAGTCACTATCTTTCAATGCTATGCTTCAATTTCAGGTCTCAAAACATTTCCTGTCCAGATGCAGATAATTTCTATCAGACCAATTTTTTAGATGTGGATAATTTGAATTGGAGTTATTACTTGCAACTGAACTTTCTGTGCAACTGGAGTGAATATTTCATCGAAGTAAAAATCTTATAGTATTTTAAATTTAAGACAGCAAGTGTTCATTTATCAGCTAATAATTATATTGTGCTCCTAAGTAGAATAATTTTTTAAATATTTATTTTTCAGAAACTATTAAACCAATTGCCTTCAAATTTGGCATTTATTGTTATTTTATTTATTAGATTGAGAAATTTTACTATTCAAAGAATTTTGCTTATGACAGAGAGTACAGACATGAGATTTTTCCGATTTTCTAAACTTGAGGAAAATTAAGTTTCTAAACTTTATTATTATTTTATTCTCTTTAATTATGATTTATTTGTAAAACTTGACAGTTTTCTGTACTATCATAATATACTTATTTAAAGTTTTATTATTATACATGTACATGCATAATAAAACTTTAAATAAGTATGCAAATAACTTAAATATTTTCTTTTTGTGCAATATAGTTTCACATGTTTTTTTATTTATTTTTTGTGAATTAATAGATATTTCCAATTGTTTTCTGAAGCAATTAAAATTCTGTTAGTCTAAGAATTAAACTGTATATATAACAGACTGAATAATCTGCATGCCTGAAGACATCCTTTTACCTGTTGCTTTACTTGCTGAAAAGAAGTTTTCTAATACGATTATTTAATGGGAAAATTATGCATAAAGAAGAAATTTCTATACCAATTTTCCTAAGTGCAAAACATTTGGTTGATTGATACTGTTATTGATGATATGGAGATTTTTTCTAAAAGGAAAAATGAAATTTTGATTTATTTATTTATTTTTTTATGTATTTTACCCAAGCATATTTTTTTCATAATTGTTTAATAACTATTTGCTCCTGGCTTTGAAAACAGTAGGTACTACAGAAATTTTATTACTGACTAAGCCAGTTGTAGCATATATTAAGAGTGGCCATTTTTTCAAAAATTGAAAATTAAAAACAATTATAAAAACTTTTGTTATTAATAATGTGAGGCATTTCTTTTGAAGCATTTCTGAAAATGGTAAACATCACAAGGTCTGTTCCTAAAATGAAAAATAAACTGAAAACTAGCAAGAAATGAAGTAATTTACAAAATATTATAAAATATTCATAATAATTTCATGTTTTAATAAAAATAATAGCACATTGCAGAAAATGTCTTTTTTTTTTTTAAATTTGTGGCTATAATATAATATTTTAATCACTATTTGTTTTATTTAATGGTTAAAGACAACTGTTAATTTTTCGCTACCATTGTCTCCAGATCATTTGCTCTGGTAAAATATTTTGTTTGTTGGAACCAACCAATTCCAAGACTCACCATGGTAAGTGGAGAAGACAAAAATTAGGACTGATAAAGCAACCACCTGTCCATTTTGTCTCTTCATAGTCATAAATTTTCATATTTGCGTAATTTATTAATACATTTTGAGTTTTTTTGCATTAATCTTTTTTATGAATATTTTTGATTATACAGGAGTATGAGTTGGAAATTTTAGCTTTGTTCTTATCTGGCTATTTTGTCATTTGATCTACTTTTCCATCATATCTATTGAATTATAAATATCTTGTGTTAATTGTTTTAATAAAATAGCATTTTTTTATTTAGTGTGCTCACCAACTACAGCCTGATGTCCTTTCAGTTGTTTTAAAAAAACTACTAGAACCACAGTATGAAGGAGAATTAAAGTTCTATGCATGCCATTTGGCATTACAAGCATCTATCAGGAAAACACTTGAAATGCCTTCTTCATCTGTTGAAAACTCTAATGCCGAAGTAAACTTTGCGTTTAATTTCTGCCTTCCACATTCATACTCTGATGAAGAAGATGGTCACAAAGATGAAGAATTCATCATTAAAAACTTGGCACCTGAACATCTTCAACCTATATTTGACATCATTTTAAAACGCTTAACCAATGAATCCGATCAAAAGTGTGATATATATTTTATTAAAGTTGTGCTTCATGGTGTCAAAACTGTTTTGAAGTTAGTGAATAATATAAGTACGGATGAAGTAGCAGGAAGTTGTGTTAAAAAACTTAATCTGTTGGCGCCACTCTTCGTACAATGCCTCACTGGAGACACTATGGTATCTGCTATTCTTCAAAATATGGAAAAACCTTTCCAGTGCTTAGTGGATTCTGGTTACCAAATAATGTCTTGGGAAATTAATGAACTTTATTTAGTCTTTCTTCTACTAAACTTTTTGAAAGATTTTAAGGCTAAGTCTGTGACTAGCCCAGAAAGCAAATTATCATTAAATACAGTTTCTAGTTATTGTAGTGATTTTCATACTTACATGAAGCAAAATGATTTATCTTACAAAACACTTGCTGATTTGAATGAGAAATATTTGAACAGCTGTATTAAGAACAAAGAAAATTATTATCTTTTATTGACAGTCATTGTGAAACATCATTATCCGTATGCTTCTCGTAAGTATATTATGTAACATTTTTTAACGTTTTGCTTAAGCGTTGATTTTTTTCTTTTAAGAGACCATCTGGGATAAACTTTCCTTTATTTATGTAAATTATTTCCTACATTATTCTTTCTTTTATAAATAAACCACTCAAATAACAATAATTTCTAAATACTAGCCTTAACAATCTATATCAAAAATACTTTTAATTATATTGCTAAAAAATTTAGATTAACATAATGAAATAAAAAATATACAGACATTTGTGCTCTGTTATTAGCTACCTCTTATTTTATTTATTTTAATTTAAAAATGGTATGTCCCTGATTTTAAATCAATATAAATTTATTTCGCGTAGTAAAATATAACTTTGCAAAATAAAAGGTAAGAATTGAATAATTAAAAAAATATTTATCAGGTTATAAAATCTATGAAAAATTATGAAGAATTAAATGATAGATTAAGGATTGTAGTGATGATTTTAGTTTCCAAGATTACATAGATTTTTTAAATATTACCAGTTTATGAACCTCTGGCATCTACGAATTGAATATCAATGCTGTGTTTACATTTAGTGTTTTAAAATAATGTACCATGAACTCTTACTTATTCTCTAATAATAAACTACGACTTTTTTCATAAAATGTTTTAATAAATATAACTGTCTTTGTGATTAAATGTTTTGTATATCTTTATACATAACTACATAGGTGCTGCAGAATGCCTTCTTTCAAATCCTCAACTGTGGGAACAATACAAGTAAGAATAAAACAAGCTCTTTTATATTTAGTTTAATTTTTTGCTTATTAATTACCATTACCTGAATGTGAATATCTGAATATATTTTTTTCACTTTTTTTCAGTGTAATTAATTTGTTAGAAGAAAATATTACCATTTTTCATCCTTTTGAACTGGAGATTACTTTAGCTGATGCGATTGTCAAAACAAAGTCTAAAAATATGCAAGATAGGCTTTTGAGTGTATGTAAACATTATCTTATGTATATCTACCATTTTAATCATCATACATTTATCGTTGTCAGCTTTTTATAATCTTCCTCATTTCAAACGGTAAAATCTAATCATGTGATTTAATCATTTTCTAATAGGTATTTTACAAACTTCTGTCTCAAGCTACAAATGAAATTTATAATAAGACTCTTGAAAATATACTAAAGAATTGGGGCTTCTGTGAATATTTTATGACAACCAACTTTGATGCTCAACTGACCCAGCTGTCACGCAAAACTATGACGCTTAAAGAGGTATATTTTAGTCAGTCTACCTTTAATGATAAGGAATCACAACAAATTCTATATAATAATTGACCTCCAAAGTGCTTTGCCTACAGTAGTTATTTTTAAATTAGTTTAAGGATTTTTTTTGTCTCCTTCACAAGATGAAGTTATCTGAAACTATTTCTCTGCAACAGAAATATTTTAGTCAACTTTTATTTGATTAGAACCATTACAAATTTATGCCGACCAAATTCTCTCATTTAAGCAGCTGATTTTATGCTTTATAATTTTATTTTTGAATTTTATTTACAAGGATTTTGGCTACAACTATGTAAAAATTATATACGACCTGATGCTTGCAAAACGAAAATTTTTAGCATGTTGGCAAAATTGAACAAATGAAGCTTACCTAAATTGTTATTTTGCTGTCTCTGTGGATATTGTTAGAAAGTAGGGCATGTGAGTTGGCATCTATCTAAGATACACTTGTTAATTTACTTCTATACAACTCAGTCCATCATTAGATTAGTCAAATTAGGTTGAGGTTAAATTTAAATTAAAAATAACACTCATATAAACTATTCTAATTCACTTTCACTTCCAAAACACTCAGTCAACCGCCGAACAGTTCACTTCTCTATGCCTCATAATTAGTTGGAAATAAGATAAATGTTGGGCATAAATTAGGAATTTCAACCATTAATTCATTTTTGATTCACTAACTCTTCCATAATTAGATTATGGTTAGGTATAATTTAGAAATTAAAATTAGATTACTTCCAAACCACTGATTCCACCATAATTAGCATTACCACGTAGCACTTTTTTGCCATACTTTTTTCAGAATAATATTTTTTTAATTACTGTCGTCAAGTCCCTAACAGTTTTTCATAACTGTTAATCTATATCTAACTGTATGTCTATTATATAACTGTGTTTTCATTCTGTGTGCCTTCCGTGTTCATAATTAAAATTGTAAATAATTTAAATTGGAAAAAAATTCTAATTTTTTTTTTAAATTAATGAAAAGCATTTATTATTTTGTTTTTTAATATTTAAAAGTTAACATAATTAAAATTTTTAATAGTTTAAATTGGAAGAAAATTTTGATTTTTTTTTTTCAAATAAATAAAAAGCATTTATTATCTTGTTTTTTAGTATTTAAAAGTTAACTTACTCCATCACTTCATTGTTTAGGCTTGTAAAAATATGAACATTGGTTTTAATTACTTTAAATTGAATGAATAAATCTTAACTAATTTTTTACTTTAAACTTAAATAATTTTTTATATCTATTTAGACTAATCAGTTATTTTCAGCTAGATAGTATGTAATTGAAACTTAATAGTATATATCAAACTTATTTATCTTTGGATTACACATATTGAAGAAGTGATTAAGTTTTTTCACAAATTGATAAAATGTGTTAACATTAAGCCTTTAAAACAATTTTTTTCGTATTATCTTAATTTATCTGCTTATATGTTTTTATTTCATAATAAGTTTGTAGGGCTTAATCTTCATGTAAAATATTCTGATATTTAAAATTATATCAATCTTTGCTAGATTGAAGAGACACTTCTTCCTCTGTTTGTGCAATCTCCTAAAGTAGTTTTGCAATTTTTGATTGAACAAGCCATGATGCAAGGTTTAGATGGAATGGAAGCTTTAAAAGTAATTTAATTTTTTTTTCCTCAAGTATTTCTCTCTATTATTTTTCTTTCAAGTTATTTTTTAATTTTATATTACCCAATTATGATATGCGGTCAAACTTCAATATCTTGGACTCGTAGGGAAATACAAAAAATTTTGTGGTCATTTATTATTACTAATATTATTTCAGCTTTTTTCCACTTAATTTTTGATAAATAGTAATCTTTAATCATTATCGGGTAATGAACCTATTAAGTTTTTGGGTTTTATGATTTAAGGGTAACCAAATATTTTGTTAAATCAGTGATTGCCAAGAAATAAATAGTAATCTTTAATCATTATGGGGTAATGAACCTATTAAGTTTTAGGGTTTTATGACCAAAGGGTAACCAAATATTTTGTTAAATCAATGATTGCCAAGAAATGTATTCAGCTAAAAAATAGTTTTTTTTATTCTTTGCATAATTTTTCATGATATTGTAAAAAATGTGTTACCTAAGTTTGTGATACTGAGGCTGGAATATATCAGTTACTAAATTTAAACAAGAACACCACATTAATTCACTCAAAAAAGCCTATTTTCTTCTAAATGAGTTTTAAAATTGCATAGTAAATAAAAACATTTATGTTTAATTTAAAATAACTACATGCTCTGAGCTAAATTTAATCTTGAGTGAAATAAATAATGTGAAACAAAATATCTATATGGTTAATAAAGTAATTCTTCCCTTTCAAATTTTATAATAATGACACCAAAATTGATCAATCATTTCTTATAAAATCCTTTTCATAGTTTAGCAGGCTAAATAGCACTAATGTAGTTTCTGTTGCACATATGATTTTTTTTTCTTCGGTTTTATCAAAATGGTGATATATTGAACAAAAAACTACCTTATAAGTTAGGTTTTAACAGTTAATTCATCAAAAACTAGTTCCATTGATGCCATGAAATTTCATACAAATTGGATGAAAATTAAAATCTACTAAAGTTGATCAATCATCTGTTATAAAATCCTTTTCATTGTTTAGTAGGCTAAATAGCATGAATGTAGTTTCTGTTGCACATAGAAATTTTTTTAATTTGTTTCAGTTTTATCAAAAGGGGGATACATATTGATCAAAAATAACCTTATAAGTCAGGTTTTAACTGTTAATTAATAAAATAAAAAACTAGTTCCATTGATGCCATGAAATTTCATACAAATTGGATGGAAATTGAAACTCCCCTGTCTAGAGTTTTGAGGAAAGACCATTTAAAATACATGATGGTTTATTTCATCCATATGCATATTGTTGCAGAATGACTGTGCATCTTTCTTATTTCTATGACTTTTGATTTAAAATTTCATAACAATCTTGTAGAAATATGTATAGTGTTTTCAATGTGTTTTATTGTAAATTGTCAATCTTTAAAGGTTTCTTATGCAATATATAAAAATTCACAAAAGGTGTGAGCCAAAAAGAGGTTTTAGAAAACTGTCCTCAATGATACTTTCTCATTTTTGTCACACAGTGGAGAATTATTTTTATGTCTGAACTATCTTTTCAATATGAAAACTTAAACACAAAATGTATGTCTTAAAAATAGAAAATTTACGTTACTAAATGTCATTTCTAATAATATTGGAAAAGTGAAATTTATAATATTTTAATATTCATATAGGTGCTGAAAACTATTCCTATAGCCTGTGTATATGAGTGCCATGAGGAGCCAGTTGCTCCTTTGATTACTATACTATCTCCTTACTTTGAGCACAATTTAAGAGCAAATGAAGCCAAGCATTTTGTCATTCTGCTGAAAACTTTAATGGAGGTACAGTATTAACATTATTTTAAAGGCTTTATTGAATTTTGTTAGTATGTAAGAAATTTCTTTATTAAAAATTAAGCATGTTGTGCAGAAACAGTTATGAAGGTTTAAAAAATTATTCCTTCTCTGCAGAAATTCTAAACATTTTGCTTGAAACTAGTCAATTAGGTAGGCATAAATAAACAAGCTTTATGTTTTATACAAAAAAATTGAAATTTTAATTATTTTTTTTTTTTTACACTTTACTAATGGTAGTAGGCTATGATATCCTTAATGTTTGAAAACTGTGAGTTCTTTTCTTTAGATTAACTTATGTTCCCCTTAGGTTGTTAGACTAGGCTCCCATGACCACAAGGTATTCTAGTGGAATGGCCGTAAATGAAGGAATTGAGTGTTTGCCCTCGATTGAAGTGGCCCAAGTTTGTATCCTAGTGGTACTTGGTTGATACAAATTCTGCCCCAAGCTTGCACTGACCACAGTTCTGACATAAAATTTCTTCAATGGTATGATCGTGTGTTAGAATCTCCTTGCCATCGAGCTAACCGTAGAATGATTCATTTTGTGGGGTTTTTCTATGTGAAACTCAAATCCGGGTTAGTTCCATCAAAAAGTCCTCATTGAAGGCTAGTTTATCATTTTTATTAGATAAAGTTTACAGCCCTGATCAAATAACTTATACTTAATGTCATTTATCATTGGCACAGTGTAGTTGATTCTAACTCTTATATCATTGAAATCTACATTAAATTCAATATGAAGGATATAGAATAAAAGGTTAAAAAATGTACAGCCACTGAGACGGTTATCTTTTTTATTTGTATAACTTCTAGGATTATTTTTTAAAAAAAATTATGAATGCATTACTTATTTTTGTTTTTGTACTTTTTTATTTTTGCTTTTGTACCATTATTTTACTGTAATATTTGTCTGGAATTACATAAATGCTTTTTAAATTTCAGATGCAAGTTACTGAAGACATTCTCTCTTTTGATTCCTTCTTAGATAAGTGCATTTTTCCGAATTCACTTATTCAAAGTGCTCAATTCAATCAGCTTGAATTTACCCTTGAATGTTTGCATGTAAGTGTATTTTTTAATTTTATTCTAAAAATTTTAGGATATTTTTTTTCTTCTGTTTGTGATAATTGTTTTAATCTATCTAATAAATAAATTTTAAATTAAATTAAGAAGAGGTTTAGTGTGATCGGTTATGGCTCTAAACAAAGTTGATGTCATATGTTTTACAGATGTGTGAAATAAAACTATTACAATAGTTTTATACTATACTCCATACTATAGTTTTATACTCGAAATGTGGAAATATTTTCAACCTTAATATTTGATAACTAAACTTAATAAAATTCATTTCAATAAATAAAATTAAACAAAAAAATATTAATTACTTATTAAGTAAACAAATTGTATTCTTATTATTCTATATAGTTTTATGACGGAAGAAGTTGAATATTTTTACTATTTTTACACCTAAAGATGGTTTTAAGCCTTTTTATTTGTGTTTAACCAAATTTTGTTCTTATTAACTAATGATTACTATTTAGTTTTTTATTATTTATTTATTTTTGAAGTCATTGAGATGCTAAAAAATGTTTAAAAAAAATTATACTTTTACCTAATTTATATATATATATGCAAACCAATGTTTTAAACTTCTCATAAGTCATCAAATGTTGTATTATTTGTTAAATTTGTTTATTTATTAAAAATATAATGTATAAGTACTTAGCAATATTTTTAAGTTTAACCAAGTTGCTTTATTTATTATAGGTTGCTTTAGATATTCTTATTAGCAATGATGCCCTGGAAATCGGTAGTGACAAATATATTTCTCTTTTCAAACATCTGGGTACAATTTTGTGTTTCTGTATTGAAAACAACCTTGGAAAGCTTAAAGAAACTGTTGTAGACATAATGAAATTGCTTTCAAATCATAAAAAGAAGCCACAGTTAGATGCTCTTTTTAATAGTGAGAACTTCATTTGTCCCATATATAATCAATTTCTGCTGTATTATATAGTATTATTATACTTGTTAAATGGTTAATTCCACAATCACTGAATTAACATGCTAATAAATGCAATCAAAATAAAATTAATTTGTCATATGTATGTTTCTATACATTTGAACTCATGATATACTTTTCCTTCATTTCCTATATATAATCAATATCTTATTTCTATTGTATTATACAGTTTCTGTGTTATGATGTTTGTTATTTTTTATACTTGTTAAAGCTGTGCTATTATACCTGCATGAATAACCATCACTTATGAATGGTTTTGTAAATTTTGCAGATGAGAATAAAGATTCCAAACATCAATTATTTGATGTTGAAAAGGTTCTTAAATTGTATATCATAAGCATCTTCTACAAAGAAACAAATCCAGGTATTTTTACATGTTTTTTTTTTTATATATACATATATATAATTGTATTTTTCCCCTAACTCAACTCCAAGATTGTCAGTTGCAAGATGTAAACAATAAAAAAAAATTCAAAAGTTCTCTTTTATAATCATACAGTAGGCTAGTAACAATTATGTTTAAAATAACAGATCTGATAAATATAACTAAATTTTGAAAACTAGCTTATATTGGGCTGCATGAAGAAAAATAATCTAAATCCTCGATGTAATTATATATACATGGTAAATATGGCATTATTTTTTGTAGTTTTGATCTAGAGTCACGATCAGTTGATCTTTTGTTAATTCTTTGCTTGTGGACTCTCCTGTTTGGTGAAAAAGAATTATAATTCATAAAAAGAATAAAATATGTCAGTAAAAGAATAAAATATGTCAGGAAAACATTTATCAACCTGTTTATTTAGGTTTTAGTAAAAATGTCTACTGTCTATTTTGAGTCAGGTGAAGTAATTTGGTTACAAAAGCAGCCTTTTTGCAGCTGATTTTGCTAGATTGTAGCTACGGAAAATTATTATAATTTTAGATTACATTTCATAAAGTCATTATTTTAATACATCTTCTTAGTACATTTTGTAATTATTGTTCAGCAATAAAATGGAGTAAAGTGGTCAGATTCGGAAAAATTTAACTCAAAATAGATATTATATTTAAAAATTACTCAGCTAGCAAAAAAGCTCATTCCATGTGTGTTAATGTTATTTTAATTTCTAGTTTCACCATCAACCTGACTTAAAATTTGGTCAGTCAAGTTTATATTGTCAAATCTTTTTATCAAAATATATATTATACGTGTATGTAATTTTTAAAAATAATGAAATTGCTTTTTTCTTTTAAAGTAAGTTTTATAGCTTTTTCCTCAATTACCGTTATGAAATACACAAAGCCTTAATTCCTTTTTTAGATTATTAGAAATTAAGTTACTGATTCGTTACTCTTGTGTATAATTGTTGTTCAAACATTCTCTATTAATTTTTTTTCTTTCTAAGCTTCCTGATTCTGGCTTGAATTCATTATGTTATATTTTTTTATTTACTTTGAGAAAATTTTCTAATTTATTTAAATATTAATAATCATGACATTAGATTTCAGTTTTTCTTTTCTTATTTTCAATGTCTTAAGCAACTGCTTACAACAAAGCTTAAAGCATTTTTGGGAAAAGCATCTCAAATTATATCTTTATTTTGTTTTGGTGACTAATACCTTTTATTTTAGTTCTGATTTATGAATTGGTTAGAATTATAAGCTATAATTTTCTATTTAACTAATTTTACTCCACTTTTCCTAGACCAACAGACTGATCTACTTAAATGGAAAAACGAAGTGATTAAAGAAAATTTCCATTATTTGTGGATTTGGTGTTGTATTACCAGCGATGTTGATGATTTTGTAGATCATCTTTCATTCTATGGACTCTCTTATGTGGACTTTTTGAAATATCTGCCAACGGTAATCTATAAGTGAATATTTTCTATCCATTTTACTTTGTTCTTTTAAATTAGTTTAGCTTTTTATTTCAAATCAAAACAACCATGTTAGATGTGAACTTATTAGTACATTATTTTTTTTAACTGTTAGATATCATATAAAAGCCTACAGTAAAGTTTCTCGTGGGAATTAGTCATTTGGTTGCTTTAATGATGTACTGGCAGTGAAAACAAAACTCTCTGAATAAACTTTAATCTGATGCTCAAAATTTTCATTCTAAAATCCAAAACCATGAGTCATATATAGGACGTTCAAATAATATTAAAACCAATCACAACAACAAGATTTTTATTTTTATATGAGTCTGCTTCTAATGGTGCCACCATGTTGCATGGATTGATATTCTGTGCCAGAAGGCACCTGAAGTGATAATCTATACCATTTTGCTCAAATACATTATTTCTGTATGATTCTGTGCCAATTTTAACTTTCGATTATGCCTGATCCAATTATATCCAATTTAACCTAAAACTCCGAAGTATAATCAATGTATAATATGCTTATATTAGGAAGAGAAAGAATGTAATTTATAAAAAGGTGGGGTCGGTTTATAAATGATGGCTGGTCGATAAGATTGGATTGCAGCAACCACAGTGCAGGCGTGAAATATCCTCAGTAGTAGACGGATCATGGGTTAGAGACCCTTTGCCATCAGGCTAACCGTGGGAGGTTCTCGTCGTCTTCCGCTCCGTGTAGCCCAAATGTGTATTCATTCCATCAATAAGTCTTCCACGAAGGCAACTTTCTCCCAATACTTGATACAGGAGTTCCCTTGTATTCCGTATTGGGTTTAAAATTACCAGGCTCTTGCTTGCTGCAAGTCTTAGACGAATTAACAATTTTTTTTATTCTTCATTTCCTTTCACCCCAAGGCTCAAAGTTGCCCTTAAATTTCTTTTTTACAAAAAATGTCCTTTAATTTCTTAATTATTAAAAATTTCAATAAATGTCCTAAAAATTTTGGGTTTTCTTAAATTTTTGAAGTTAACAGTAAGAATAAATATTATTTTTCTAAAAAAGAATTGAAGAAATTTGGTTATCTGCCGTATAACGAAATAATTGCCAAAATTTTCATAGCATGTCAAGTATAGTATTAATCCATTGTTAGAAATAATTATCCTTCATTTGATGCCATGGAAATATTTTATGTTAGAGAAATATATATGAAAAGCTTCTATCTGTCTTCCCCATCTCATCACTGTATGATATTCTACTGTTTTTAACAGGAGAATTCTCATTCAAATCCAATGTGTATTGAGTGTAAATCCTCAATTTAAATGTGTAAATGTGCCTTCCTAAAAAGTGACCCTTCAAGCATATGATACAAACAACTATTCATCGCAAAAATGCTTTTGTCAACAAATCATGGATATTTTAATGAAATTATGTGTCTGCATTGCAATTTTTAAGGTTCAAGCTACAATAGCTGAAGTTATAAAATTAGACACAAAAATGTAATTTTTCTTGAAAAAAACTTTCGTTAATTGATTCAGGTTTCTGACAGTAAAAATAGAACGGTATGGCGACACTGTAAAAGATCTTATCTTAATATTTTAGTTTGCGAATGGTCAAAGGGTTGGGCAACTTTTTATGTCTTTCTCATATCTCAAAAACTGTTTGGGTTAATCAAAAAATTTAACCCATTTTTATAAAACTTGCTAACTTGAAGACCATTTTGTGTAAAACATAATTATGCATTATTATTTTTAAAAAAGTTATACAACAGTGATAAAAATGATTTGAATACACATATAAATTTTAAATTAGCAAGCAAAACTCTGAATTATTAAATATTTACCTAATAAATTTGTTAAAAGTTATAAATGAATTATGCAAAATTTACGCATTTAATAACTTGACATTTTCATTCTTGTAAAAAAATACATGCCTATTAAATTTTTTACTCCATTTTTTTTAATGCTCAATACTGATTTTACAACCTTTTGCATTAATACTTAAAAATACCGAATGTAAACTTTTTAAGCATTGCAGGCATTGGCTTTTTTTTTAAATTTATATTTCGGAAAAAAGTAGTAATTTGTAAGAAAAGTTCTGGTGGGATATTAACTCTAAAAAAATAATAATTTTATATTGAGTATATGCTTTTAGAGTTGAATCGAATAATGTATGCTGATATAGGTTTAATAGAATATAGTTTGTTTGTTTTTTTCCTTCAGAATTTCTGGCACTTTACTAGAAGTGAATGGCTTCAATCAACAAGAATAATTACGTTTTATCAGTTTTATCACCTGAAGACAGGATCTTCAAATTATCCATGGTTATTACCTAATAGTAAGTTATGATGTTAATATAAGATTTTCAATTATGGAATAGTAAAAATGATTTTTTAATAATTTTAGAAATATGATATTCGATGTATAAATCATGGTTAAGTTTCCAGATACTCAAATAGGAATTAACTTTACTTATATTTTTGTTTTAAGAAATGCAATTCATATAGAATTGTGCTTAAATCCATGGAATAAAATATTAATGATATTAAAATGATCCACTATCACATTATAGTATTTTTTAGATTCTACTTTTAGTTTATTAGTATTGTTTTTAATTTTTTAACAGGTATGTGATATGTTGTAAATGGCTTTAACATTTGTTTAAGCATACACTTCATTTAAATATTGTACTAAAAGAATTCTGTTTAAATTAAATTTACATTTGTCTTGTTTAAATATCATTATATCTTTTTAGAATCAATCAAAAAGTAAACTTTTGAAATTTCATATTAGGAATTGTACAAATGTTGCCTTAAAGTAATGGAGTTAGTTATTTGCTGTTTTTTTTGGGGGGGGGGGCTGGTATGTTAAATCCTAAATAAAACTGACTTTCATGTTTTTAGGGGGTGGGATCTTTTGTAAAAATTAAGATTAAGAAAAATTTACATCTTTTTTTAAAAGAAATCTTACCTCCAGAAGGAAAAAGGGTGTCCAAAATCAGTAAAAATTAATACTTATGTAATTTGAATTTTAGTAATTCAAGGCAGAAATTTTTAAAAAATTATTATTTAATATCAATGTCATATTTTAATTAATCATTATCTGTGATGCTCAAGCCTAAAATGACAAACTTTTAGATTTCTCAAGTTATTTTTAAAATTATAATCCCATAATGCATTTTAAAAGGTAAAAACTCTATGTAATGAAAAAGTATTGATAATTTAATTTATAAATAAAAAAAATATTAATAAAATAAACCGCATTATCTATAATTTCCAAACATTTTTAATACATACATACAAACAAACTGCTTTAAATCTATCTTGTTTTTTTTTTCTTCATACTTTTGGCTATAATTAAACATAAAGACGAGTCCTTTAAAGAAATTTTGGTTCCTATCATAAAAATTTTATGTTCGTATAAAAATTAAAATTATTTGTGTAGTGAAACCTCTAAAACTAAAAACTAGTGGTGCGACAGCCCATAGAGGGCCAAGGCCATTAGAACATCCAGAAGTGTCACGTTTAGATTAAAACTCATTTTACTTACATCCAGTTCTTGGAATATAATTTAAAAACAACAGTAATTAAAAGTGTAATCATTGTTATCATTTAAGACATACAACAATTTATTAGATGTATGAATTGCAAGAAATAATGTTTGTCTTTTCAGATAACCCTGACGTCTATAGTATTATTCGATGTTTAATCGACGTCTTTACCCTTATGATGAAAGAAAAATCTTTAAAAGATATCTTGTACTCCTCTAGTTGTTTAACCAACACAATAATGGTAAGCGATTGTTCACATTTGTGTCAAAAATAATATAAGTTTAATAAAAGCTAAAATTTTATGAATATTATTTTTACTGTGAGTTGCTTTTAAAATTAACAATTTATGTATGTTATTATATTAATTTATGTATATTAATTGAAGCAGTATTAAATAATAAAAAAACAACTAATGTAGAGATTTAGTAATTATTTTATTAGATTTCAAAGTAATTGTTATCAAGTATTCTGGAAATTTATTTTTTTTAAAAATCTAGACCCTAAGTATTACATTATTGTTAAATATTTTTCAAATGCCTTTTAACATAAAATATTATAATAATAATTAGGCTTGTTCTTTTTTAATCCATGCATAGAGTAATCTTAATAAAATTAGAAAATATTTGCTTCAGAGTGAATTTAAGAAAACTGCCCTTTGAAACTTGGAAATTTTTCTGATGTTTAAATTAAATTTACATTTATCTTCTTGCTTAAATATCATATATTTTTAGAAATCAAATTTTCTGCATACTTTACAATAAACTGTTTATCATCTCAACAAATTAAAATCATTAAATTTCCTTTAATTGTTCTTCCTTCAATTTTAATTGATACTGCTTCAATTTAATTTTAGTTACCATTGATTCAAAGCAAGTTTCTCAGAATTAGTAACTTTACAATTTTAGAATATATTTATGACCTAAAGGGACTAAGAACGCACTATTCAAGGATTTCTGTAGCAAATTTATAATATTCCTAAATTTTTGTAACACTTTATATATACAGTGAACCTTCAAGGAACCGAAATTTTGGTTCACTATAACCGGGAGTTCACTATATCCGTTACGCGGGCAATTTAGCTAATTGTTCCCAAATTCCTCCCTTTTATTACACGTTATTCAAATAAATGACTGAAAAATATTATGTAGTAACAAAAAAATTTTTATTTTTTATTACTCTTTGTCCTGTACACACACAAAAAAAAAATTAGTTATCTTTAGCTGATGAGCAATCCTCAACATCAGATATGGAAACACTTCCCGACTCTCAGATAATTTTTCCTGAATTTCTGTTAGTCCAATTTTTAAACTTGTCTAACCTGCCATTCGAACACATAAAAGTAATCTTAAAATTGCCTAGCAAATTCATCGACATTTGTCCAGATACTGGAAGATTGCTGCTTCTTTGAATGCTGAACCACTTCAGTAATACTTCTTCAATATCCTTGTGATCTGCTTTTCTCAACTTTTTTCTGCCATTTAAACTTTTTTCATGAGCAGAAATTGTTAATTGCCTATTTTTCCATATGTTATGAACTGTAGATTTGGATAGTTTATATTCTCTGCAAATATCAGCTTGATTACATCCATTTTAAATTTTTCTGATTATGCCCATTTTATCATCAATGGAGAACATTTTACGTTTACTGCTCGCCATAGTTAAATTTGACACACTTATTTGCAGGCTTTTTTTAACTGCATTGAGAGCAAAAAGGAGTTGAAATGAGGGCCTTATCAACACATATTAGTGTCCAACTCTTTGACCAATAATGAATAGTTACTCATTCCCTCTGACAAAAAATGCTTATTGATCCCACTGACACCTTACAGGTGCATCATCTGCCTGGGTTGGAAACATCTGCTTGATTTGTTTAGAAATGAGAAAGTAAGGTAAAAGAAGCAAACAAGAAAAAATGCTTATCGCTACCTTCCCCACTATAGATGGCTTTAAAAATCGGTATATGTACTTATTTTGAAGTAGAAATTTAGAAATTATTACAAAAAAATGAAGAAGAAAATCAGTCGCAGACAGAAAAAAGTTTATTATATCCAACTTCATCACTTTTTTGGTTCACTATATCCACAAAAAATAACATTATACGGGTATAGCAATGCACGGGACCGAACACTTCGTTCACTATATCCAGGAGTTCACTATAAACCGTGTTCACTATAGACTGTATATAGAAAATATATATATATGTTTGTTATTTTTTTTTACTTATTATTTCCCCCCCCCTTTTTTTATATGACTATATATAATTTTTCTTTGTTTTATCTTCATTTTGAACTTATCTAATGAGTTCTGTTTACTTGCAGCTTAAGCACAACAAATGAAACTTATTGTTTTTCTTAACTTCTTAGTGTTTTCTTGTATTTATTTATTTATATATATATATATTTGTAATATTGGCAAATTTTTTTTTCTGTCTTTCGAATACAGTAGACGCCGCTTAATGTGATCACGGTTAATGTTATCAATCGTTTAATGTTATCAAAATCGCTTAGTCCCGTCCGCTTATATCAAAATACATTGAAAAATCATCGTTTATTGTAATCAAATGTTCGTTTAATGTTATCAGTTTATATGTAAATTTTATTTTCCTGAAACCAATAAAAACAAGTAGGAAAACTTTTTTTTTTGTTTGAAGTGTTTCCTGAAACTTACCAAAAGTCCAAACGGGGCTCGTATATTATCTTTTAAACATGTGTCATTAGGAGGGGGTATTTTGCCATTTTCGGTCAAGCATTGTAAAATTCCGTAGAACTGTGCAATTTCAAATTCCTAAATAAAGAGATAAGAAGACCTGCCAGTAACGAGTCAATGTTTGTCACGAGCCCCTTTTTAGAAGAACTAAACAATGTGTCCCAGCCACTATGGGAAGGGTTTAAGGGGTGGCCTTCAAAAGAGAACATTGTTTCGGGTGTGCAACTTGATTTTGGCAGGTCGCTTACCGAGTCGCTATTGGTCAAACAATAAAATGGGGTTAAAACAATAATATAGTGGAACTGCCACATCTAAGTGTTTAAAAGACGCATGCAGAGGAAGATCAGCATAAATTTTCACTTTACCATAGTTCATACGATTTGTAACCTGATTTGTTTTTTATAATGGAAAGGAAACGGAGAGATCTTACTGTGAAAGAAAAGGTTGACATTTTAAATCGTTATGTTAAATTGCAGAAAATGAGCCAAATGAATGCTGCTGTTCAATTGAAAGTTTCGGAGTCGCTTTTCTGAAAAATTTTCAAAAAATTTGAAGGTATCGAAAAAAAGTGCTCTTTGAACGAAAATCTGAATTGTAACAGAAATCGAGATGGAAAAGACAAAGAGGTTGAATCTGCATTAAAACTCTGGTTCACAAACGTTCGTGAAAGGGACGCTCGTGTTAATGGTCCAATTTTGCGCCAAAAAGCTGAAGATTTAGCTGCAAAATTGGGAAAAGGAAACTTCGTAGCCGCAGAAGGATGGTTCCACCGCTGGAAAAAGAGGCAGATCATACTCTCCCGAACGACGCGCCGTGAACAAAACGATGCCGATAATGTAGCCGCAGATCAGTGGCTTGAAGAAGAATGGCTTAAACTTATTGCCACATATTCACCTTGAAGATGTATATAACGCTGATGAAACTGGCCTATATTTACGTGCGTTGCCTGAACACACCTACATGTTTCAGAAGGAAAGTACGCAAGGATGTAAAACCTCCAAGGAACGCCTAACTGTGCTATGTTGCGCTAGTATGACCGGCACTGAAGAAAAACTTTTAGTGATTGAAAAAAGTAAGAAGCCCTGCTGTTTTCAAAGGTGTGAAAAAATCTGCCCGTCGATTATTTTGCCAACAAAACGGCTTGGATGACTACCACCATCTTTAATAAATGGCTGTTGAAATGGGACAAGCGGAAACGGAACATACACCTGCTCATAGACAACTGCACTGCGCATGATGTAACTGTTTCATTAAAGAAGATAAATATCGAGCTCTTACCACTAAACACCACTTCTTTAATTCAACCGTGTGACCAGGAAATTATCCGCTCCTTGAAGGCATATTACAGAAAGGAAATGCGTTCAAGGATCTTAGAAAATATAGAAGACCAAGACGCTGAAGATCTTAATGTGAACGCTTTAGCCAAAAAAACAAATGTTTTGGATGCCATACATTTGTTAACAATGTCATGGAATAATTTAGTCATAGAGGATTTTGTCAACCAGAGGACAACAGGGTGCGTAGCCAAATCTTTGAATCAAAAATAAGCACTTTTTAAAAACTTTTCAAGCACTTTACAAAAATTTTCAAGCACTCAAAAAATTCATATTTAATCAATGATATTATTGAAAAACAAAAACTTTTTATAAACAGTTTTAGCGTTAAGAAAAACCCAAAAAGAAACGGGCGTAAATTTAAACAATCAGTACTTTCCCACATCACTGAGTGAATTCAACTTGACCCTGAACTCAGAACAAAAGTACCCTTACCCCCTACGTCAAAAAAAGTGTTAGAAGTAAATTAAATAAACAAGAACAAAATTAAAATAAATTAAAAAGAAAAAGATTTCATAAGGATCTGACATTCTCTATCCGAATTGGAGCACTCGGGTTTCGGTTTCAAGTATGCGCGCATGCGCAAGTCATAACGTGGGTACGACATGAAGTCTGCGTGAATGATTACGTAGCAAACTCCCCATTTTTCGTGAAATGCATGCGATCCACCAGATATCACTGAAGGGGGAAAAAAATTATTTGGAAAAAAAGCACTTTTTAAAAACGCCAACTGAAAAAAGCACCTTTAAAAGCTTTTAAAAAATAAATCCCCAAAAAAGCACCTTTAAGTACTTTTTACAAACGCTACGCACCCTGGGACAACAATGCTGCTGTGATGAAGGAAATGGAAGACGTTTTCCATCCCCCCGCCCGATGTGAATGCTGAGGGTTTTGAAGCATGGATGGAGATCGACGAGAAGGTTGAAACTTCTACTTCGTTAACTGATGAGGACATTTACGAAGCCGTATGTGTCAAAGATCAAGCTTCGTCACAAGATTATGATGCCGATGATGAACCCGAAAGTGCTATCGAGGACAACATTCCGACGCCTGCTCAGATGAGGGAGGCTTACGTCTAGGTGTGCAAAACAAAGGAGCACTTTCATAAACATTATGATTATGAGCAATTTGTTAATGACTTGCTTCGAAAGAATGCTAAACAATCGACAATTGATGATTTCTTTTTCAGTTAATAACTAACCTTTTGTATTGTTTTCTGCAGTTCATCATTAAATATGTAAGTATACTAACTACTTCTTTTTCTTTAGCGTACATTAATTTCTATTAAATACTATAGAGTTTTACAGCAATAGCTCTTAATTTAAAATAATTTTTATTTTAATACGTATGTAAAAAAACATTTTTTACCTTAAATTTTTTTCGTTTACTGTATTGTAATCAATCGGTTATTGTTATCAAATCACGTTCGTCCCGATGCGATCGCATTAAGCGGCGTCTACTGTACTCATTTCTTTCTCAAAATCTGAAGAAAATTTTTTAAACCTTGTCTTATAATTTTAATAAAAAGTAGTCAACGAGCAATGATTATTTTTTACTCAAATTTAAAAGTGTACAATTATAAATGTATTTTGATTCACTACACTTATTACTTCATGCAACTATAAACCTACTTTACCCACAGTTATGTTTTTTTCCCCATTTATTGTCCCTATTTATATTTTTAGCCTCATCTATCAAACAATTACTTTGATTTTTTTTTACCAAGAGTCCATATTAATATTTACCTTTTGCACTCCACCTATATGATAGGATTAAAAATTTTAAATTTTTGTTTCTTAATATTTCCTAACCACATAATTTTATTGTTATTAGTTGTTACAATGTAATATTGCAGCCATATATATTTTAAATAAGTGCTTACACTAATTTAACATTTTAAAGTGCCCAGAGTGCAAAAAGTTAAGTTTCATACCACATGATCAATTTGATTATTTGGGCCATTAAACTAAATATTTAATCAATCTTTACTTCATATTATAAATATTATACGCTAAAATCAATTTAATCAAATCTATCTCCTAGAATGATGGAATTTTAGAAATAGTTGAATATCCTGTTGATTGGAAATAAGTTTTGTAATAATAAAGTTTATGCAACCAGTTACAAAAGTCAGTGAAATTTAATAAAAATCAGTCTTTAAAAGCCTGGGAAATTTTTTTCTCTCCATTTGTGGCCACCTTATCTTCATTGAAAATAACAAAACTTAAAATACTTTAATAATTTCTTTCAAAATCCTTGAAAACAAAATACCAGTGACAATATTTGTAAATCTAGTGGATGTCTACAATGCCTGAATATTTTCAAGATCTCCACTGCACACTACACCCAATTTTTTCTACTATTGTAATATACAGGTTGCGGGGATTGTTATTACAAATTTTTGTATTGAAAATGAAATTGTAGGGTAAAAGTACTATGATGTTTAAATGAAGATAAATAACATGAAATTTATTGTATAATTTCTTTCCACTGCAGGATCTCGTGAAAAAGACCACTAAACCATCTTTGTTAGTAAATGTTTTCCTGGACATTTGTTGTGTTTCATCATACCTTGATTCTGAAGTGTTTTTCATGTTTTCATCAGTTTTGATGAGTTTACAAAAACAATGTCTTTCAATATGTGAAGAAGCAGATAAGAAAGACTATATAATGCTGATGAAACTGGGTATCAACAGCATTCAAAATGATGTTGTGGATATAGAATCATTGAAAGATAAGTTTTGCCAATTGTAAATAATGTATTTTTCTAAGATTAAATTGCATTTAAAAAATATATATTACTTTATTTTTTTAAATTATACAAATAAATAATTCCTCTTAAAGTCGGAAGATGATTCTGGAGGCCAATCTAGATGAATGCTCTGGAAAAAAAAATAATTTACAATTATTATAAAAAATAGAGCTGCCACATTTTATACTGTAATACTATTAATTTCAGGTTACGACATATTCTTCTATTTATAGGTGTGTATTTTTCTCATACTTTCAAACCTCAATATCACAGAATTGAAGGAACACTAAAAATCGTGATAGCGAATATTTTTAACAATTTCATCATCTGATTTTATGCATTGCTGAAATTCTTGTTTAGTCTAAATATATTTACTGATGTTGTAAATTTTAATATTTCTAATTCTTTTCAATTTCCAGTTAAGAATCGGTTTATTTTGATAACATTAAATTTGCACTTTCAAAATGGATTTATCTTACAAACGAATATTTTTATCTACTTCTTTAGGGATGGATGATTCATGCAACTTTTATTTAAATATTCAAGGGTCATCCAAAAATATATTAGGATAAGTTAAGTTCCTTTTTAATAACCAGTGTAACTAATGTGTCAGAATTTTGTTGTGATAAGAACAAATTTTTGTTGAACTTCACAATATTGGAGTTCGAATATAGAAGTGGTATGCAGGGCTCGAAAAAACTCAGAAATTTTACCCGTCCCCAAGGACGGCTTGTCCAACAATGTACCTGTCCTCCTTTGAAACTAGCCCGTAGCTTCTAAATAAATAAAAGTATAATTTTCTCTTATTTATTACAAACATTTATATAAATTGAACAATGAATTAGTAGTTACTAGGATTACATTATACAGAAATAAACGAAATACTAGGTTACTAATAATAACCTAGTATTTCTTTTATGAAATAATTTAAATGACAATGGTCAAGTTATCTGGAATGTCACTTTATCCGAGGATACTGCGTTTCTTAAATGAATCAAATATGATGTTTGCCAGTTCCACTTGTAGATAACAAAAATTGAAAATGTATCACTAACATTGACGGGAAAATGGCCGTCCGCGCGGACGTCGGATTCGAGAAATTCGTTGTCCGCGGTGAATTTGTGACTGCAGAGGACGGGCTGTTTTTCGAGCCCTGGTAGTATGTATTTATTTTTCAGCAGTAGTATATTACAAATTTGATGGCCAAACTTTATTTATTATTTTAAAAAAATTATCAACAAGTTATTTCAACTCATTAGAAGCAAACACTATATCAATTTTCTCTTATAATATAAATGTAGATATTTGTGGATTAAATTGTCAGATTTTCACTAGCCTGTGTGCTTCAGTAAAAGTGTTTTTTGAAGAATAAAAATTAAAATGCATGGTAATAATTGCTAAAATATTAGTTATGTGTTTACATATTCTTAAACAAATATTTTAAAAGGATGATTAAAGTAAATTAGAATTATTTAAAACAGGGTTAGCATTTTGTTTAGAAAAACCTATTTCTTCACTAGAAGAAAGTGAGAAAAATTGGACGATATGGAAGAAATTAAGAATGATAAAGTAACAATTTTTTTGGCAACTATATTTAATGAATAGCTGCTTTAAATTCTAACACACATAAAATTGAATATGGTATAAGAAATAGAAATTTTTTTCAAAGAAAATAATCATTTTTATATCTATTTTAGTATTACATATAATTTTAAAATCTATATAACCTATTATGATAATTTATTTTGAATTTCAATTTACGTTATCCATATTTTACTAAATAAATGTGTGCACCTAAATAAGTTATGCACACTTATTTTTAGTTTGCCGAATATTCTGTTAAAAGACTAATTATCTAAAAAATTACAAAAATATAATACTTTATAAAACATTAGATAAATGTTAATTTCAAATTTATTACTTATTTCATTTTTTTTTAATTGTTAATAGTAATTTTATTTCCATTTAATTTTCTTCTTATCAAAACAAATTTAGAACCGTTGAATTCTATATATAATTTGTAATAAAACATAATGTATAATTTTATTAAAATATTTTTAAAAAAATTTCTTAAATAGAAATTCCTCAATAATTTAATTAGAATAGAATAATTTAAAATTCCACAAATTGAAATATTAAAGTTTTTCTCAAATCAATGTATAAAATCAAAGTTATTTAGGATAGTAACGAAGAATATTACATTATGTGAATCTACACGGAAAAATGCAGTTTAATGACATTTGAGAAAAATTCTGTTCATGGCATTTTTTAATACATCAGTCAATTAAATAATTGTCCACTTACCTCTACATCAAGCTCCAAAATGTCTGCTTCAGTTTCTAATAGAGTTCCAAGACTAGGAGTTGTTCTACCAAAATCACTGTGAACAAATTCTTTCACATATCTTATATTTAATTAAGTAAACACTAGAAAATTTTAAACGAATATTTTGAATAAGTTAAAATGTCTAAGCTTTGTATTTTAATACTTCATTAGAATGACTAAGAACTATTTCATGCAAAGAGTAAAGAATGTTAAGTATAATCATGCTAATTATATCTGGATAGTTTTGTTTGTAAGGACTAATACAGTGTTTATTCATATACATTGCATTTAAAAATGTTAATTTTTTTTTTTTTTTTTTTGCAAAAATATTTTGGAAATTATTAATATATTAAGTAATATAAAATTTGCTAAGTTAATCATACAAGATAACAATTGAAGCTTGAACAGCTTTAAATACTTGAATCAATAACAGTCAGGATTGCAGTGTTTTTTAAACTTTCTTGTGAAGTCACCATGTTACATGACTATGTTACACCCTATAAAGCCAATGCAATAAACAAACTTTGACAGAAATTTATGAGGGAAGTTTTAAATCCTTCTCATTCAGTTGTCCATATCTGTTCTGTTCTCATGCAACTTTCATAATCATATCTTTGAAGACTCGAAAAAGCACTGTAAAAACATTGATTTCATACAGAGGATGATGCCAAAGTATTTTTTAAGTAACATCCGACTTTTTTTTATGAGCATTGTGTTGTTAGGCTAATATCAAAATGGGACTAATACCTATACAATTGTAAAAAATTCTTTTGAGATTCATTAAATAAATTGTATGAAAGAACCTTTGACTCATTATTTTTTGACTTTACATTATAATTGGATGTGATGTAGTCAAAATCTAAGCTTACTTTAAATAAAATAGTCATAAAGGCATACAGCATACCAAATCTATTGTTTAAAAAAGAAGAAGCACATTATAAGTATAAGGATACGTTCCAGCTTGTGTTTCAAGGCGCAATAACAAATGATGATCATCGATGATTTTACCTTTTATGCTATGTATCAACCTCTCTCTTATACTCAGAGTTCGCCTAAAAAAATTAAAGATTAAAATATTATTTAATAATAGTTTTAAAATTCCAGTTACATATTTTCAAAAACTATGACTACTGATAAAGATTTGAGTTATAGTAAAATAAAATTAGGTAATTTTTCATTTACACAGCCTTCAAAATGATATATGTATATATATTATTGACTATATATATTGTGACTATTTATATATAAAAACAGAATCCTATATTCTCAAGTATTTAAAAAGTACCATAAATGTAATCAAAATTACTAAATTTTTATATCAAATTTTGAAAGAGGCTAGTTTTCCTAAACAAACATTTCTAAATGCTTTATCTTATCATTTAGTTAATAGATATAATTAATTACAATACAATTAAGATATAATTGCCTATTACAAAGTATAAGATAGTTTAAAAATTTAGTGTCATCTTTTATTTCCTTACATATACAATATACATAAATCTTAATATACGGTAGAAGTTAAAAGCTACCTTTTTCTTTTGCATATAAAAGCAATACAATTTTTTTTTTTATGCATTGACAACAGATAGAATAACAACAATGAAAAAAAATACAAGTTTAGTTTGGTTTTAAAATGTCTAGAAATTTGCAAAGATCTTTATTATTTTAGATCTTTCATTTTGCTAAAAAGATAAATATGTGAACAAGGCCAGAACATTAGGAACCATTCATTTTTTAATATGAAAATAATGGTTGCTTGTGAAATTTGAATGGTAAGATGAATTTCTTTCTCCGAAATATTTATGGGAAAACAGGATTTTCTGCCTGACAAACAGAAAAAGCAGGATTTTCTACCATATGATGATTAGGACAAAAGTATCCAAACAAAAAAGCATATTAAAATAGTTTTTTGAAGTATTCTACATCAGTTGCTTGAAAAATGTGATTTCTAACATTAGATTAAACTTGCATATAATATACATAATGAGTTACCCAATGCTTGATGACAGCCTTAACTAGATTAAGATGACATGCTTAACACAATACTTAATTAAATGACAGAATTCAAGAAAATGCAATAGTGTTATTTACCTATGTAATACACGTATGGGGGTTTTTTGATTAAGTTTTACATCTTCCAGTCCTTCTAAATGATCAACATCCTCTTGTTTAAGTGTTTTCTTCACAACGCATAGAGCCGAATATGTTTTTCGTTTCTCTTCCTCTCCTTCTTTCAAAATAGAAGTATCTTCCCTGAGGAATCCATTAAAGAAAAATATAATGCAGATTTAGCATAAATGAATGACGTTTTTAAGTATTTATAAATTTCCAACTCATGTCATATTAGAATCTTGATAATTTAAGTCTCAATTGCTCAAACAAACAAACAAAAAGAGTGGAATGAACTTATTAACAAATTAAATGTTTGTTAAGTAACCAAAGTGCCACACACATCAAATATTTGTAACTGATACTTTTTATTTTTCTTTAATTTAGTGCATTAATAATTTAATATACTTAATAGTTTCGAAAAGAAAAGTATTTGAAATATGATAATGTATTTGTGCTATCCTAACCATGTAAAGCTTGTAAGGATAATTAGGGTTGTAGGAACTTAAATAAAATCGCAACAGAAATTATATTTGTATCATTGTTAATAATACAGGGTTGCCACAGTAAAAAATGAATAATAGTTGCTTTTAGTAGCCTCAAGCATGAAAATAGTTGCCTAAAACTATAAAAAAGTTGCCTGAACAGGAACAAAAATTTATCAAAAATAGTAGCCAAATAATTAAAATTGTAGCTTAATTGTCAAATACTATGATAAGGACTGGTTGATGTCAGAAATTTTAAATCGTGATACATCGTCCGTTAGACATCGCGATTTAGCATATGTTCAGAAATTACCTATGGGAAATCAATCAAAAATAAATAAAAAGGAATAAATCTATAACAAAAGAAAATATTAATTCTAAACATATTCTACTATAATATCAATATCATTGCTTAATTTTTTCAATTAAAATAATAAAGAATAAATGTAAAAATATTTTTACGTATTTATTATTATTTTCGTTTTTGAAAATAAAATTGACTAAAGATTTATTTCTTTAAAAATGACACTGACTATCTAACAAATTATAAGACAAACAAATATTGAAAGAATTTTAATAAAATTTAAAAAAGAAAAATACTTTAAGTGCTAATGTTAAATTATTAAAAAGCGTCCAAACATTACTAAACTCTTTATTTAATTTTTTAAAAAAATTTTGTTTTTTAACTAATAGCCAAATTTTTTTAAAACTTTGTTTTCAAATTCTCAAAAATAAAAGCAAATTAAATAAAGGTAAGCTTTATTTTAATTTTTTTATAAATACAAACAACTGAACATTTATTGGTTTAAAAATAATCAAATTATTATACTTACCTACATTAAATAAATTTGAAAAAAACTAACTTTTTATAACAAAATTAAGTACAAAATACCCCTATTAAATTGTATCGCTTAAAATGAAAAATAATAATTGGAAAAAAACCAATGAAGAAACATTTTTAATTTATATTTTCTTTTCCTTGATCTATTGAGTTCAGAACGAAAGTTTAAGATAACCGCGATTGTGCAGCAATCGCAAAGTAACAGTAGGTCTACGAAAAATAAATATAAAAATAATTTCGCTAAGAGTAAAAAAGTATCCCAATAGTCGCCTATTCCTGAAAATAGTTGCTTTTTTAGCCTTTTCAGACAAAAGAAGTCGCCTAAGGCCGAAAATAGTAGCAAATAGTCGCATTTTAGTAGCCTGTGGCAACCCTGTAATACTATGATCCTTTCGCAAATGTTATCCAGAATGTAGGTCAATTATATGTTGTTATAATTGACCTATGATAATTAAGGTCGCAGGAACTTGGATAAAATCATAACAGAAATAATATTTGTATCATTGTGTGAAGGAATAATACTATTATCCTTTCGCAAATGTTATCCAGAATTTAAGTCAATTTTTTTTTTTCAAAAGAAATTTTTTTTTAATAACACAGGATAATCCATACTGACTGCCCTTAAGGTACATTTTTAAAACTAATTAAAAAAAAAAAAAAAAGCCATGTGCATTAAAAACCGCAAAATAACTTTGATAATTGAAGAAAAAAATTAAATCTGACCTATCACTATTAAGGTTAATAAGAGCGAAGGAAGGATTAAAATTTCCTAAAACCAATTTATGATGATGCGTAAAGGCAGATTCTAATGAGCATTCCAGTCCCACTTCAAGAATAAACTGATAGTTTTGTATGATTTTAAACCCTCCATTGATCTTATTGGTGGTAATTTTACAAACATTACATAAAAATTTTAAATACAAATAGTAAAAATTTCCTTACTTGGAAATAACTTGTAAGTTTTTGACTGCTATGAGATCAGTGTTTTGATTGACATCCTGTAAATGAACATTAAAAATTAGATGCATGTCAGCATTTTAAAAAAAATTATTGCAACATTTATTCCATGTTTCTAGGAAGAGCAAATGAAGTATAATGTGTTTTGTACTTTTAAACTATATAAATCCTTTAATTGCATTACAAAATATAACCTATAATTATTCAGTATTCAGCCTTATATTTTTAATTATTCAGTTAACTTAAAATTTATATTAATTGTAGGGCTGAATATTAATTTCAAGTTAAAATTAATTATTCACTTAAAAATAAATAAATGAACTCATGAATAAAAGTGAATTTGTAAAAAATAGTATGAAAAAATAATTTTAAAAAAAATCCTCTAATATTAAACAAAAAGATCTATATAAATTTTTTTATTCTAAATAAGAAAAAAAGTCATGTTGAGAAAAATATTTGATATTTATCTAAAGTTAAAGGAAATATGTAGAGATAATGATAATACCAGTGATTTGATATAGTGCAGATAATTTTTATGGTTAAAATTCTCTGTGAAACTTTTATTTATCAATCTGTGACATTAATTATGATTTTCACAGAAAGAATTGCAATTAATCTCATATTAATACAAGTTTAATTCAAATCTAATTTAAAAGCTAATTGAAAGATACGGTAAATATTTTATAATAAAAAGAAAGAAACCAAAATTCCACTTATTTTCAAAAAATTGTATAGAAATCTTTAATGCAGTTAAAAAAAAGTACCGATAATTAAACAGCATTAATATGTTTTAAATATCACTAATAAATCTCATTATTTTTTTCTCGAAGGTGTTTAATATGGGCTTGTAAGAAACTTTCTTCATTTAAAACTATATTCTACAAATAAAATAAACGTACTAGAAATTGTATTTATATTTATTATCCAAGAAAAAACATATGATCAAGATCATTTAAAACTATTACATCATGAACTATGATAAAACAATTGCATCATGAAATATAACTATATTAAATGATAATATTGTTTTAAATCATATAATTATATAAAATATTAAATGATATAGTTATATTCAATATGAATGAAATTATATTAAATAATACATTAAAAATGTTAAGTTTTTTTCAATACTATAGAACAAAAATATCAATACCATAGAACAGTAACATCAATAACAACTGATACTATCAAAAAAAAGTATTTATAATAGACAGTATTGATATATTTTCAATGTCACTGAATAATCATTATCACTAATCAATTATAATTATTTTTCAATAAATCATTATTTTTCAAGACAAATGTTTAGTATCAGATTTTACAAGGTTTTTTTATTAAAAAACTTTATTAAGCAAATATTACTTATAGTTGCAGAAAAAATATTATCAAGATTGATATAATTAAATATGCTTACATCTTCTATTGCTTTTATTTCATCACGTGAAAATAATACATTTCTAGGATTTATCAGTTCTAAAATAAATGGCCGACCTAAGTAAACAGAAAAAGTATGCATAAATTTATTTTATAGAATTTAATTTTATATTCAAGTATTATTAACAGCAAAAGACAACTCAAAATTAGGAAAAGTGAATCAGGCAATTTGGCAACAAACATTGTTTTACTTTAGGTGCAGTAAAAAGAACAATGTATAAAACTTAGAAATAGTTTAAGTTAAAAAGAAATAATTAACAAAAGTGTAATTTACTTACGCTGCAAGGGCATTTCATAAAAATAAATGAAAATTCAGTTCATAAATGTAGAAAGAAATTCAACAAATTCCAGTGCAGATGATACAACAGTAAGAGGATGCTAACAAAAAACTTGGAATGGAACCATGGTGGGTATCTAAAACACATTATTCTTCGAAAACAAATCTTTCTTTTTCAGTTTGACTAAAAATTGAACCAAGTCTAAATTTCATTCCTATTTGAAAACTAAATGCTTTTACATTTATTGTGTTCACATACAATTAAAACTAATCACTCAGGATAATCCTTTCAAAATTTCCTGATTCAAGGTCATACCTTTTAATCCGTTTTCATAACCATGCTTCTCACATTAAGCAGTTAACTTTGATAAGTCATAAATACCAAAAAACATGTGATGTCCTTTCAGGAAAAAGACTATTACTATAATGATGTTGTTGAAATTAAAAAATTTTACGTTTTTAAAGTTTTACCTTTAAATATAAAGTTGCCATAAGAAAGTCAAGTTGAACTCATATCATTATATAGTTTCTGCTCTACAACATAGTTAACAAAATAACATTAAAAAGGGTTCAACTATTTTTGACTAAGTTGAGTAACTTAAAACTATCTTCAATTTCAGAAACATTATGACTTATAAAATCTTTTAATATAAACAGAGAACATTATGTTAAAACTATTAAAGCAGTTTCTTCGAAAATAATAAACATTATCTAACAAGAAACTTGTTCATACAAACAGACAAGGACAAGATTTATCCATTATATTGCATTGAACAACTAAATATTTTAAACAATCAAATTTAATGTATTGTAAGAAAACCAAAACATTTATTTTATTCATTCACAAAAAAAATAATAATCATTTAAATAAAATTACTTAGATTTAAATTAATATTTTAAGAAACTTATACAGATGTGTAACACTATTCTTCTTTCATTCATTTAAGTTTTAAATAATAATCATTTTATTTAAAGATCCCATTCATTTATGTTAAAGAAAAATCAAATATATTTTCAATAAAATTAAGAAGTAATTTTACATTGTTAATAACTAGATTGATTAGAAAATAATTTTGAAGTAAACAAATAAATAAAATTATTTGCATAACATACCATTCCCAAGCATTTTCACATCAACATCTTCTCTGCCAGATGCAGAAAAAACTATTTCTGAAAGAGAAATGTCTACATTAGTTAATATTTGCAATGTAATTAAAAAAAAAAAAAAAGATTTTACAAAAAAATCTATAAATTTCAACAATAGACAACCAAATAAAAGAATCATAATCAGTACTTTATACACAAAATGCTAAAATTCACACAGTATTGTCACACAGTATCTCACAGTATTGTATAATAGCACAAACTTTATTTAAAAAATAAAAATTACAATACATGCAAACAATTACAAAATTATTCATTGTTAATCATAAATATTCAAAACTATAGTTGCAGTTTTGAAAAATTACATATTAATGTTGAAAATGTTACCTCAATTTTCACCTTGACTGAATGTATTAATTTGAAACCGACTGTTCTTAAAATACAATTCTACAAGAACATTTTTCTTGAAATTACTAACGTAATATTTTTGTTACATTAAAATTAAGTAAAATTTGTGAGTCTAAACACGCGTATTGATGCAAATTCTTGCAAATAAAAAATTGTTCTTACAAATTGCTATTATTTAAAAAGGAATGGGAACTTTAGGGAACATTAAACTTTATTCGTTCAAAATTTATAAATAGTTCTGACATATGAAACTTTTTTAAAGATCAGCAACAGCTATTTTAAAAAAAAAATAACACAAAGAAGTACTTTTAACTATAATTGGTGAACTCAAATAAACATTCTTTATAGATTGCAAAAAATAAAAATTGCCACAAAAGTTTAAAAAAAATATTAATTACTGCATTTTATAATTGGAGAAATCAAACTTATACACATAAAAATCTATACAATTATATCTAACATTCAGCGAACTCAAATTCGCTTAAATTTTATATAATAATTGGTTGATTAATTAAAACAATTCAAGATATAAGAGTTATAAAAATTAGTAAACAAATTACATCTTACTATCAGCCTGAATATGTTTCTCAACAATGTCAGTAATCAGTTCACTAACAGAAGATTCCATGTGACGTTCACCATCAACAATCCAAGGAGTTTGGCTGAGTACTCGAGAATATTTATTATACCTTCCTCCAAGGTACAGGGGTGCATGAGTGCAACGTATTTCACTGAATGTCAAGCTTTTATCAGGTGCTGAGGGGGGTAAAGTGTACAATCTGGAAATCATCAAAGATAATAAATAAAACAAGTATCTCTATAATGTATAAAACAAGTATCTAAAATTTGTATACTAATAATACAAAATGGGACATACTAATAATACAAAATGGGAAATAATAATACAAATTTGGACCATTAGTAAATGAAATAAGAGATAGTAAATAATTGTAAAAAATAATAATTTTTTACAAGGAAAATATGTGACAAATACAATCTTTAAACAATGTTTTTTAATGGAGAGAAAAAAAAATTTATTTACTTCATTTGTTATGGAATTATGTACACTCACTTTTTTATAGTTGAAGATAATTTGTCAATTGCTTTTAACACAGCTGTTCTATTGTAAACATTTTCTTTTGGAACCTAGAAATATGAACATTCTATTTTAAAATATAATAACTTATATGAAAAAAAAAACTGTACAAGTAGATATATAAAATTTTACCCTTTTCTTCGCATTTGGAAAAGCTTCAGGGCATTTTTCAAACCTATAAATATATATGTTTAACATTTATTTTAAATTTTATAATATAATTAGACAAAAAATATTAATTATTTTTAAAAATATAATAATATATTACAATGAGAGGGTGGAACAATTTCTATTTTTTTTTATTCATGTATTTTTAATATTTTTCAGTCAAAAAATACAGTTAAACTTTTTTAAATAACAACATTTTTGAAAACCTAAAAAAAATAACACATAATACAAAAAAAAACTCAAGTTTTATAAAATGAAATGCTTTTAATTACTCAAAAAATTTATATAAAATATTCAATATTGAATGGCTTTCACATGATATTATATGAATTTAGAATGTAAAGATATAACATTTGACAAATATTTTGGGAATAAAATCAAAAGCTTATCAGACTAACACTTTTGCATGGCTTTTAATTAGAAGGAACAAAAGCTTGAGAGAACTCATTTTCAGAACAAAATGCACTGATATTCTATTCACAAAAAACAATATAATATTGGATCTATGCTTAGTAGTTTAGAATTTACTATGCCAATGTGCAACACGATTTACATAACACAATCAAACAATGACCCTTATTGCAAAAATTAGACTTAATCTAACATCTAAAGGATGAAAATTAGCTAAAACAAGATAAATAAAAATTATGCACAAAATAATTGTTAAAGATATACACTAAATAATTCTAATTACATACAGCATTTGGTTAATTTTTCATTTAATTATTTAGTTTCTTTATACCTGCAACCATATAACCAAAATTATTCTTAAATTAATCAACAAAAAAATTTCATTTTTAGTTTTAAAAAAATTTGGACAATTCAGGAAATTTTCACACTGCAAATCCAAACAGTAGCATTTACAGAAAAGGATTGTCTTCTTTCACTTAAACAATTTTACCTCTTTTTTTTTCATTTTTAATGCACGTAATTTCATTAAATTTCAAGAAGAACATTAAATTTCAAGAGATGCTTGATCATCCGAAATAATGGTGAGATGGGGAAAACACCTGCAGTTCCAAAGGGAAAAATAGGAATAAAATAATCCATCAATAAGAATAAAATAATCTTTCCTCTTTTGCTTGATTTTAAGTTTTCCATAAATTTTTAGAAAACATTTAAAAAGAAAAAAAAAGACACAAGATGAAAAATAATTTGCAAACAATGCAATAATATGAAGTATCGACTGCTGTGCTAAGATTTTCTACCAACAAAAATATATGAACCTTATAATCACAAAATTGTCTTAAAAATGAAGATTTTTAAATATATATTGGTAAAGAAGATAGTCCAAAATTCTTATTTAGTATGATACAAAGACACTATGAATATCAGAAAACTTTTTTTTCTTCTTTTAAATATTATAATAAATCTAAACCTTATTGTAGAAAGCATTGTCACAGATTAATTAACAGATTGATTGATACATCAAACAGGCACGAGATCTAGCATTTTTAATGAAAAATACTTAGTATTAACTTAAATAATACACTTATATAAGAGCAAATACATAGTGATTAATATGTGTTATATTTCTTCTGTTTCAAATTAACATAAAAATATTTTGAAATTTTCTTAATTCCTTGACCTTTTTAAAGCACTTTTTTTACTAGATTTTCATTCAGCTCAGAAATTTAAGCCAAATTTTTGCATTAGCAAATTAAAAACCCTTATCTAAAAATGCAAAAATACAGCATTTTTAAGTAAAAAAAAAATTACAATAAATTTATATGCTGATTGCACAAATATGGACTGGTACAATATATTTGCACTGTTTCAAACTAAATATCCACAAAAAAGAAATAGAATACCACTTGAATAAAATTAAATTTCACAAACCATCCTGAGCCAAAATAAGAATTGCCCCAGTTAACAGAATAAAAACTAATTGTAAGTTATGCCAAATAAAGAGGAATGTAACAATTAAAAATTATTCAACAATAATATATAATATAGTTCTTAAAAATTAATTTTCAATTATACACCCCATTGCATAAAACATTAGATACGTATCTTAAAAAAACATATTTTGTAACATTTTTTGGAAAAGCAAATACAGTAAAAACCTAACTATGAGAAATGCCTGGATAATCACAAAACATTTGATACGTGAAAGTCCCGGAAATTGAGCACCAAAATCTCTATTTTTAATATTAAATTATTTTCTGGAAAAAATACTGTGCCTCAAAAGAAAAATATTGCAATCCCCACTTTTAAAAACTCAATTATGATAAAAGGGAAAAACTATAATAGTTTTCTATAAAAATTACTAAGGTTGCATTGATAAAAAATTTTAAAAAAATTACAATATAGTGTCCGGTACAAATTATTAAAGTTGTCAATAACAAAATAAAGACTAAAATTACAAAATGAAAGGAAATCACAAGAGAGAAACATAAAAAAAATAGCACCATGTTCTTTTAGTTTAAGTTTCATAATAACGTTTGCTTGAAAAACTGCATCACCATAATAAAAATATCAATAAAAAAAGATATACTCGAACCGCTTATTAAAAAAAATATTAAAGATAATGTGAAAATAAACAGAAATACTAGAATAGTCAATATAAAACAAATTTAAAGAAATTTGTTTCATATATTTCTAAAAGTTTCGGTTCCTCAATCATTCTGGTTAGTTGAATTCTGAATAATTGGAATTTTACTGAAAAATTTGTAAAAGAAACTAAATAGCGTAAATAATAACATTTGTTAAAACACAACATCATGCATAACATTTTACTGTAATAAAACAATAAAAAATAAAATAAATATCTTACAAAATTTGACATTCTGTAACAGTCTGTGGATAAGAAGCAGATAAAAAGATTTGGAATTCACTAAATGGTGTAAATTCCCTTTCAGTCATCTCCCCATACATAGAACCAATAACCCACTTGCAGATATCTTTAACTGTAGGAATGTCATTTGAACCAAATGTGAAACAATCTCTGCAATGAAAAATGACATAGTTATTTTACTATTCACAAATTAAAATTCCAGTTCCATACAAAATTAAAGAGAGAGCTTAAAATACAATCAATACCAAAAAAAGTAGGAGTCAATTAGTTTCAAAACCTTAATTTAAAAACAAAATTACTGAACAATTGGGACTGAATCTATATATTAAAAAGGCAAAGTTATTTGCTAATCTATTTTCATCCATTGACTCTAAAAAACAAGGTTTTTTTTTAATAACAGAGCAACATACAGTTTACATTTAATTTTATAATTGTATTTAATAAATATATTTCTGTATAAAATAGAAATAAAGACATTAAGTTTTAAAATTCCTTCAACATCGCCTATCACTCCTTCCTTCTTTTTAAAATGAGCTGTTTAAACAAAGCAGAAACTAATTTTGAATTTATTGCAGATTTTGTTGATTTTCATAGCAGACTCCATAGAGTTATATTGCTTTGTAATGTTCTTGACAAATTCTACACTTGCGCGCAAAATTCTTTGGTCAAACTCAATATTATAGATGGTTGATGGTAGGTTTATATTACAGATGGAAATGTAATAAATAATGTATAAATTTATTCCTAAAGACACTTAATATGCTTCTCAACCAGAAAGCAAAGTTAGCACTTTGAAAGTCACTTTAAATCAAATGCAATTTTCATATCAGTTGGGTATTTGCTTTTCGTGAAGCGATTTTCTTACATCTAAGAATTGGATGAAAATACAATCTAAAGACACAATTATAACAAATAAGCATAAGTTTTGCATATTTATTTACGGAGATTGTGATTTTAACTTTAATTTATTATTGACATTTATTTTTGAAGAATTAGTTCTTACAAGATTCGAATTATATAAAAAAAGAAATATTCAACTGAACTGAGTGCAAAGATTTAAATTTAATCCAAAGAAGATTACATTTTCCATTAAATTGCAAGAAAAGTAAAAATTCTGAAATCAAGTGTAATATATTGGCTTGACTAAATAAACACTTGTCAAGTGTTAGCTTGACTAAATAAAAAGGAAAACATCTCTAAAAAAACAAAGAAAAGAAAAGAAGAAAAACACATAGAAAGGTTAAAGTGCCTTTCACATGTTGACCAAAAACTTTTGCACACTAGTGTATTTGTACTGCTTTTCTTTTTTTCTTCTTTTTTTTTTTTTTTTTTTTGCACATATAACATAACACAATTCCTTTTAGCAGAAATGGAATGCCTTGATGAGGAAATTAAACTAGACAGGTAACAACAAAAAGGCATATTATGAAACAGTGAAAACTAAAACCTTCATATTTATTTAGCAATCTAACAATTTAACCAAACTGAAACATGCTATTCACATAAAATAATCAATTCAAAGTAATCATGCAGTACAAAGAGCATTTCTTATTTTGAAGGCCTCATGTTGAAGAAAACATTAAAAATATAAGGTAGCATTTCATTGAAATAGATAAAAAAATAAAATATGTGTATGAGTAAAATAAAAAGAAACACTTCATAATTGATTATGGTTAAAAGAAGTATTCAGGTGGAAGACATTTGAATACTTAAAGTTTACTGCGCTTATTGTTATTGTATAAATAAGAGAAACATTATTTATTATGTAAAAGAACTTTTGAAAATGAATGAAGTTAATGAAAACTGCCAAAGCATTAAATTACTTTATGTTATTATCAACTGTTTAGTCATCATCATGAGTTTACCATAAAATGCACTAATAAAAAATATAAAAAATAATCTAATATAAATAAATCTAATAAAAAATATGAAGTTTAAAAAAAAATTGCCATACTTTTTGTTAAGGAGAAATTTGGGTCTATACAAAACCCTTCAAAAAATATCTTATCTTAACATACTCTTGACAATATTTATTACTTCCAGAATGGTACCTTCACAAAATTCTTTCTTAGAAAAATAAGACAAATGTTGTCATTAATCAACAATGATTTTGTAAATAATATTTAATAAACTTATTACGTATTTAAATTTAGAAAAGCTTTTTTTCTATTAGTCAATTAATTTGTATTTTTAATTCAAATGTTCACTTTTCACAAAAACAGGACATTAATTTTAAACATCCATAAAATTGGAACCTTGATTTAAGGAACTCAATTTAATGATAATTTTACATTCACAAAATTATTAGTAGATTTTTGAAAAATTTACAAAAACAAAACCTTTTACAAAAAAAATTTGAGCCAGTTTATTCCCTTGGTACATAATTATAGTTTTATTCGTATAGTATCATTTATCATCTAAATTACTTTCAGACAAACAACTAATATTTCCAATAAAATAGGATAAAGAATTTTCCAAGCATTTATTTTCAATACATTTAACAAAGTAAAAAATATTACTTACCCTATTTTTTCTTGTAAATACAATAAGAATAGTTTCTAAAATTTAAAAAAAAAAGAATTAAATATAATAATATTTTGAATATTATTGCAAATACTGTAAAAAAACAATAAAAAATAAAAAAATAAAAAAAGAGCTTTAAAGCATGCAAGATCATATATTACAACTAGGAAAATTTATAAATAATATGTAATTAAATTAAAACATTTATCATGATATAACAAAAAAACTGTTCATAAGTGCATATTCAAAAATATCAGATATCCATAAAGCATCGTATAAATGAATGGTAAAAATGGCAGAATATTTTTAAATCATATTCCTGGCATTAAAAGTAAAACAGTCTTCTTAATCCATTAAGAATACTTTTTGGGTGAATCAAAGGCTTATTTAGATTTTCATTTTAGAGGAAATTTTGCCTGTTCTAAAATTTGAATTATTTATCATAAATTTGAATATTCTTTCAACAGGATCACTAAATTTCAATGCTTAGATTTTCACATAAAATTACTAAATTCAAATGAAAAATATGTTGTTTAATTTTGTTTTTTAAAGAAATTAAGTGCATGTTATTTTAAAAAGTTCTCTATTTCAAGTTGTAAAAACGCTTTCTTTTACGGTTTGTATTATTACTGGAAAAAGAGGGTACATAAATACTCTTTATGTAGTGTAAAGAAAGGAATAAGTTTAATTTCTTAGCTAAATAATGCACTATGCTTGTTTTGAAAATGATTATAAAATTTGGTAGATAAAAATCATGAAGTTTGAATTAAAAGAGTTCTTATAATTCTATTTAAACTAAAAGTTTTTAGACCAAATTATATTTGCTATGACATATTTCGACCTAAATTCAATCAGAACACTAAATTGCATTAAACCATCTGATTTCATGTAACATCTCAATATTGTAATTGTAAATATTTTGACTAAGAAATACAAACTAATATACAAAAAAAAATTTATTTGATCTAACATTATATGAGTAAAAATAGATATGGTATTGTTGATTCTCATTAAAATAAAACTATTAAAAAAAACTAGCCATTATTTATAAAAGTTGACTTGCATTTCAATCAGAATTTAGTCATTTGACAGAAGTCTCATAGGATAGGTGAGGATTGATGTAAACTAATACATTCTAAAATATAACAATTAATATAATAAAAATTCACAATAAAATTTTCTATTTAGTCTTACACCACAATAATAAACTGCATAATTATGGAGGAAAACAAAATGATGTTCTCATACAGAATATTTAAAAAGAAAAATAATCTTACATCCCTAAGATCAATAATAGCAGGAAGTGATATCTGTAGCACAAAATTCTGGAATTTGTGCTTGCTTTCATTCACAGCAGCTTCAACCTACAAAACGAAAAATTTTCAAAAAAATTGTGAATTTAACAGTTAAAAAATGCCTTTAAAAAAGTATGCCTATATTTAAAGATGATGACTTTCAGACTTAATTATTGATTTATAACAAGATGTTGATTAAGAAATTCCTTACAGTTAAACAATTTAATAATAAAGAAATAAAGACTGTTATTCTGAAAAATCTGAATGTTTTTAACTTGAGTCTATCTAAATCTTCAAATATAAATATCATAAGGTATAAAAATTATTTGGAAACTAGAATGTCACTCAAACAAGATGATGAAATATATTGATTAAGTTACTTATTATTATTTTACCTTTAAAAAACAGTTTATTTAAAAAATGGTTATTGCATTTAAACTGTCCGCACTCACTCTATAAAAATAATGCATACTGTGATGCCATAAGAAGGCATTTCGTATTTCATGACTTATAAAATTTCATTAATTTCATAAATTTTATTTTTTGTAATCACTTTTAATCTAATTTTAATTAAATTAAACAAAATTTTTAAATTTTATTACATTTTATAAAAAGCAAATATAAATATTTTACTCTCTTCCTAACAATCAAAGTAATGGCTAACTTCTTAATTCCATACAAATATATAACTCATTAATTTACAGTCGAGACTAAATCAAACATCAAAATCTATTTTTAACTCTTTATTCCTTAAGTTACTTTATTTTTCTTATCACAAAAATTTTTCAGTTACAGGGTTATATTAATTCTCATGGTATCTTCTATGATTAAGCTATAACCAAATTTTTTAAATTTAATATTAATTATGAAGAGGCAGGGCCTGAAATTAACTCTATTCTGTTGATCTAGGAGCACTAAAATTTAACTCCGATCGCCATAAAATAACTAGTAGTTCCCTGGATCAACAATCAAGTGTAAAGGAATGATATGCTGCATTTGTTGCTTGGCTTTTAGCTAACATTTTGGTATATGTTATTAACACAAAACAAAACATATTTCATCATATTTGTGGCCATTTTACAAACTTTGTAGCGTTATTTTCTAAGTTCACTTTATTAAAAATCACTTAATTTCAATTTTAAAAAAATTTAATATGTATATATAAACAGATCAGCAAAAACATTGCAAGGATAGTTATATCTTTTAGTAACTGCTCCCATAGAGCAATGACTAAATTTTCTTAATTTCTATAACTGAATAGCATATTTATAAAACATATTTAAACCTATTAGCCCTTGGACAAAATTATATGGAAATTTCCTAGCTATGCACTACGTTCCCAGTGCATAATATAGGGGAAAACAATTTTTCATGCAGAAAAACCTGCTGTTGAAATTCCAGGGACGAAAATTAATTTAATGCTCAAAGGGTTAATTATGTTAAATTAATCGAATAAAATAACAAACAAAAATTTTGAAGAAGACCTCTATCTCATTGCTGGTATTCTGGGAAATCGGATAATGCCCTCACAATTAAGAATGACAAAGCTTTCTAGGTCACCACCAGCAAACTCCTGAGTCGATCAATCAGAACCCTTGAAGTGGACAGAAAACTTTTCAAATTTGTACTAAATGTGCTTTAGCACAAGATGAAGACTATTAGACAAAGTCTGCCTTAGTGTAACCTTGAGGAATTAACCAGAACAACACACATAAACAAACATTCGTTTTGGTTGACCAAATTAACAATTCTTACCCTTGAAACCATGTTATCTACATCTTGTAAAACTCCTAAACATGCAGCACATGGGGTAACCAAGGCACGTTTGTGTTCTGGACTAAGGCTAACATTTCCCAAGGATTGCAAATCTATGGATTCTTCATGTAGTAAGGAAGTATCAGTTTCCTCTAAGTATTTCTTAATTGTCTGCAATATATTAAAATTATTATTATTTATACAAAAACAGACTGAAATGTTAATAATCTTTACTGACTTAAACAGCTTTCTATTAATAACTAAATGTGATAAAAGTGCAAACATAGAAATACAAATAAATTAAAAAATAAAATGATTAAAATAATACACTTTCAGTAGCAGTAATTTTGAAAAAATATTTGATAGTTTGAAGTATAACTAACACAGTAGCACTAAAGATTAAAAGTTACAGAGACTAAATCATAAAATAACAGTTTACATGTTTGAAGAAAATGTTCAACTGTTATAGTTACATTAAGTTTTCATAAAAAAAATTAAAAAAAGTTTGAGATGTAAATTTAGGAAACAGTATGAAGTAATAAATTGTTAATTATTTTTTTATCCTCAGACTAACTAACATTCTGATTTGATTAAGCAAAAAATAATTATAAAAACAACATTGCAGAAAAGTTTATAAGAAATAATTCTAAGAGATACTAGAATAAAATGATATGCTTTGAAACATATTGGATACATATGCAGCAATCCTCCAAAAAGAATTCCCTGTAACCCTAGGATTCTAGAGGAGGATTGTAAAGATTCCAAGAGTTAGGATTTTTTTTTAACAGCAATTTTTGTAACAAAACATCATCCAACGATGGACAACAACAAAACATAGTTCAACAATATAGGCCATGGTAGGAATGCAAAGTAATTTCGACCTTAGTTCTGATCAGTGCCTGACTGTCACTTTCTCTCTCTAAACTTCAACACCATAACTAATGAAAAAACTTTCAGCCACTGCAAATTTAATGTGCACATTTCTAGGTATACACGCCGGTGAAAAAAAGTCCACAATAAAAAAAAAGTTTTAAAATTTATGATGTGCACAACATTACTTTAATTATGATTGAAATCAGAAATAAGTTTTTGCACACTTATTTTTGTATTTTTATTTACAAGATAGAACAGTAATAGTTTTGATCTAAAATTATTTCAATTTTTAGGAACTTTGTTAAAAATTCTTGTCTAGAAGCAAATTTGCCAAACTTTTTTTAAGAACCATTTTATTTTGGTACTCAGTTAAGAGGATAGTTATGAGGAATTAGAATAGATTTAAGACGATTTTTTAAAAACATCTAGGGATCTACAATTTGAAGGCAACCATAATCAAGTATTGGTCCTAAGGATTGGGGAGACTTCTGTATCATGATCTGTAGCAGAATAGTCACCAAGTCTTGACAACTTCCAGGCAGCAGTGCTAGAGAAACTAAAAAGACATCACAGAAAGGGACCAACTCAAAGGGTATAGCTCGTAGGCAACCCCGGGCAAACATCTATATGTCTTGTTTTTATTTCATTTTGGCCATTCAAAAACAATTTGGCGCCTTGGCGATTGCAGTTGGCATGGCAGATACAGAAATATCCCTCAAAGTTCTATCAATGATAGATAAAGCAGGGGAATGAAAACTTTCTTTTAATTTTACTTATTTTTCTAAACAGATTATCTTACTTTTAAAATGTAGAGGTATTAATAAACATTTTTTAAAAAAAACTACTTTTTAAATTATATGTAATTTTTTTGGCACAAGAGCAATAATTTGGATATAACACATAAATCGTTATCAGAACAACAATAAACCAATTTTAGCATAACTTGATTGATTATTTTGAAATTATTCAACATTTTTTTTTTTTTTAAGTTTATTCATTTTAAATACATCCTCTGAATTCATGAAACTTCTTTAACTTGGCTGCAAATAGTTTTGTGATAGGAAATCTTATTAAAATATTTTAGCAATGAAAATAATACACACGCGAGGCATCACAAATTGCATTGCACATTAACTATTGAAAAACAAAATCGATGAGTTGAAAATGAAAAGAAAAATTTAATAAAAGAAAACAATTGAAGAAATTTGGAAAATTTTGATACAAGAAATTAAAATTTAAAAATATAATAGTACAAGGTTATGTTAATATAATTGTGACAGACTGCATACTTCTTCGACATTGTTCTTTAAATAACTACTATAGTGTTTGACACCAAAAAATCGTAACAAACACCTTCGACAAACATCGGACCCATCTAATACATCTCTAATACTTCTATACATCAAATGTTTAACCATTTCATAAAATGAAAATTTTATTATTTTAAAAAATTAATCAAATCTCCTTAACTAACAAGTACAAGTTAGTATGAAATCAGATACAAATCAATGCATGTAGCAGAGCAAATTGTAAACAAAAAAATTCAAAACAAAGCGGAAATTGGGCGAATGTATTGGAACTAATCAATATCTTTTTAACACGAGTTCAAACAGAATCCGTTCGAATAAGTTTAAAATTCCTACTACATACTCTATAAAATTTGCTCGGAATCTAAGTTTTAGTTTATTTAGTTTAATCAGTGGTAATTTAGAACACAGCACTTATTTTAGAGTTAGTTGAGATGTACCAAAACTTGTTTTTTAAGTCTTAATAATGAAAAAGGAGCGACGAAATAGCCGAGAAATTAAAATTTGAGCTGATCCCTTTACGCGGCTTTTACTGCTGAGTTTCTCGGAAATCACATGCACTTTTGATGAGTTATTTAAGTTTCATGTGCTTTTCTATTTCCTCTAGTTCAGTTTAACTATATTCATGGTGTAATTGAGTAATTTATAAATATTTCTTACTTTGCTCATGTGCTAGTTGAAATGAAAACAGTAAGAAAATGACACCCTTAGATCACTTGTGTAAACTCATATTATAATATTGCAAATCGTGTGCAGTGGAAATATGCCAATACCAGTAAGTTATTTGGTGCAACCAAGCGAATTTAAGGCAGAGATAGCGTTTCCTGTTTTTCAGTGGAGCTATCTGCGGCCAAGAATACATCTTTAGCCAATAACACACATGTCACAGTCCGTTTTAAAGAGTGGACACATTCGTACATCCACAGATCGTAATTTTGAACTGAACCATAGAACGATAAATCTCCAATACAGTACCCCCAGAGGTACTGATTTGTTATGTAACTTTGAGGACCATTTGCTAAGCGAGGAGTCTTCGACGCTAGAGCTGTGCAATGGGCTGCTGGCGGTGGTCTTGAAAACATCCCTGGAGATGATCCAAAGGAATGCCATAACAATTTTAATCCTCTGCAGACGGGATGGCTTCCTCACTTCAGTAGTCCGACGATATCTGCACGTGAATTCAAGCACTTTATGATGGAACAGTTTAATGACAATACCTCGCACTCTCGGTCCCTTTGTAGCCTGGCCAAAGTGGTTACGCATCTGCTCACTGACCGCTATTAGTGGTGCTTGACTACGGAGTTTTACTGGGAACTGGGTCTCTACAATCCATCCACTGGATAGGACACTTTAAATTCAGAGTTGTAGCACTAGATTTCTAGCTTCACAACTGCAAGAGCGATGGTCCTGTTTCGTCTTAATGATAATTTTTTTTAACATATGACAATATTTCCATCAATTTGCTTTTACTTTTAATCCACAATTCTAGAATTCGAATATGCTACCTAGCAAGCGCAGAATACAGTACCTTCCTAAATGTGATTCCAACCATCTATCATCGTCCTACATAATGCGTAAATTCTCCTCTAAAAAGCAGTTGTTCTTACTTACATCTTCCATATGCGCGAAGAGACAAAATTACGCATTTTGTTCATCAGTTTGCAAAGCCTCGCAGACCATTCTAGTCGCGGATTATTACTGCAAAACTTTGTTTGCAAACGAAAAAAAGGAGTAATGAGCGAGCATAGCGAGAAAGTACTTTCTCGCAATGTTCGCTCTTCTCCCCTTTTACCAGTGTTATACACAGGAATTTTTTTTTTTGCACTCCTGATTTTTCATTGGTCTTTATACTTTTAGTTATATTGATAGTGTCTCCACGACCACAATCTCAACAAAATGAACTTATGTGAATGAACTCTTGTAATGAATTCGGCATTTTATCAAAACAGCACGCCAGATTCACGAGAAATTTAAACCGAAGAAACAGTGGTTGCAATTTTTAAAATTTTTTACATAAGTATCACCTGAGAGAAAATTAATTACCCCAGATTTCTATTAATGGAAGCAGACTGTCTGGTCACTTTATCTTTCAAATGTGTGTGATGGGGAAAATAAGAATTTTTTTAATATTTTGGAATCCTCAAAAATCGAGCTTTAAAATTTATGAATTCCAAATTTAGAAAATGGCCAAGATTCGAGTCATTAGTATATGTATTTACAAAAAATTATAATTTTTACTATGATTAGCAGTGGTGCAGCTTATTTTAAATTTGTTTTACCATAGTTTTTACATAAGATATAGAACGTTTTTCATATATTCTCAAAATTAAAAAAATCTGCCCTTGTCATTACTTTTACAGAAAATTTTCGCCGAGATCTCTTTTCCCTCTTGTAACTCAAAAACTAAGAAGAAACAACATGTAATTTTACATATTTCTAGAAAATGTTTAAAAGGAATATTCTGATATCAAATACCAACGCTCTCTCTCTTTTTATAATACATAGTTAATTTTGCTTCAAAATAAGGGATTTTTTATGACGCGTATTAGTTAAGCGGAAACTATTAGGATTTATTTCCCGCAATCGCACACTCTTTTAATTAAAAATAAGCAAGAGGTTTTGGACATCAGACGTTTTGATATAAAGGAAAAACTAATAGGAGTAAAATTTATAAATTTTGTAACCGCATACTCTTAAGACTGAAAAAAAAAAGAAGCTTTTGACTTTTATTAAGTTTTGAATTAGATTAGAAGTAAAATTTTACAGTTTTGATGTTTATCCACTTTTTAAAAGGAGAAAAAGAAAAAAAAACTCATTTCTTTCTGTTATTTAGACAGATTAGCCAAATATTCTTTTATAGGAGGCTAATATCGAAAGTTCAGACTATATTTTCCTCATTTTTTTTATTGACGCTTTAATCGATTTGCAAGGAAATATTTTTCAATTTAAATCTTCACCGTTTGAAGTTTTATAAACATAAATGTTATTTTAATTTACTTTTCTTTCATAGGAAATTTTATAATTTAATTGTACATATTGCAAGGCAAAAATCAAAATACATTTAACTCTTAAAGTTCTTCGATTTGAATTTTTCTTTTGAACTTTGGTAATTTTAAATTTTATTTTCATCTAAAATGCACTGATAAATTTAAACTTATTGATAAATTATTTATAATTTTAAAGAATAAATAAATGGTATTGAAGTCGCGATTACACTTTCTCGATTTGAGTATCCTATTTTGCTTTCTGAACATGCGTGTGTAATATTTTTATTTTGAATTTTTTAACTTATGAATATCATTATAAGCGTAGGACAGGTGAAATGAGAGGGCAAGCAATCTGAAAAGAACTGTGTAAGCAGTTCAGAAGGTCGATGAATGACAACGCAACCACTAAGATAACTAAATTTAGAAAATTGTTTGAATTTTTACCCCCTAGTAACTTAACATATTTAACTTGTCTTTCAAGCATCGAATAATTAGGGTAGTAGCCTTTTAAGTTTAATTACGCGACGGCTGGACAGCTTAAATGATACACAAATAAAGAACATGTGGTTATAGAACCTAAGGCATTTGGCCAAACAATGGCCAGTGGTGCTTTTTGGCTTGGTTTATAAACATTTATTAGGAATCAATGAAAAGTAAAGTAAATTTGAAATTTGTTTTTATTGGTTGTCCTGCTTTTTTTGTACTATCTGGTTGCATGCCTGAATAAAAGATTAGAAGACATTTTTAAAACGGAAAAAAAATTACGAAATAAAAAATCCAATTAACTATACATTACTCTGATATTGCATTACAAACTACAGTCATGTTTACTCAATGAAAGTAAAAGTTAACTTTTGAAAATGAATGTTCTCAACCTGCTGAATTTTCTCTTTCATATACCTACATATCTGGCATAAACAAATTGTTCTGTAATCTTGATTTATTTACATTTAATACTTCTATTTCCTTATGTTTAATTTTCATCTTTTCATTGTACAAGTAATAAATGAGTGAGCTATGCATGTTATTTTCAAATAAGAGCTACACAACTCCAACATTTTATAGCTTTACCTTACTTACGCTAGCACCCAACATGCTATTTTCAAGATTTCATGGCTCCAAAACAGGTTTGTATCAAGAGTATAATCATAAAACCTACAGCAAATATAAATTCAACTAGTCTTTCATTATACAAGGCAAGAGATCAATGCAACTATAGGAATCCTTTATTAAATTTGTACTTTAACAGATTTAGTGCATTTAGGAAAATATATACAGGCATAAATGTAACATACCAAAGATAACTTGATGTAAATTTGTAAGCTAAACAATATAAGTATAATTATGTTATATAGCACTATCACAAAAATTTGAAAAAATGTTTTAAGTCGTAAAATTTAATAGCATTTAATTATGAAATTTAAAATAGTTAAGTTTTTTTTTCACAAATGGAGCCTAATCAAACCAGAACTGTCTATGATAATGGATCAAAGGGAACACATCAAATTTTATAAGATTGCAAAAAAAAAAAAAAAAAAAAAAAATGTCACTGCTGCTTGACTTTATATAAATAGGCTATTTTCAAAACAGTGAACATAATATAATCAGACAATATAACCATAAAACATTAAAGCATTTCTTTAAATAATAAATTAAGGTATCCAAATAGGTAAAATCGGCAATTTTGGTGAATTTTTTTTGCTATATTTGAACTTTTGTTCTGAGCTTTCTAAATCTCTTAAAATTTTTGTTCCCTGATTTTTAGAATCAGAGTTATAGTTGTTTTTTCACATACTGATAGTTAAAAGAGAATAGCAGTTTTAAATGCATTTTTAGAAAAAATGTTTATTTTGAGGAAATCACTTTATTCCAACACACATTACGAAAAGATTATAATAGAATTCTTCTAAGCTTTGCATGAAAAGTTTGAATACTGTTAGCTATGTTTTGAACAAAAAGCTAGAGCCTAAGTGTGAATTTATTATTTTTAACATGCTTTACATAAAAATGATTAAATTTTTTCTGTAAAAAAATAAATATTGAACAATATATTTAGTTTTAAAATTTTTAAAAGATAGACAACATAGGTAACTTTTGAAGGTAAAACAACTTTTCAAAACATAGTTAACCACATAATCGAACTCGAAAATTGCTTTGATACTTATGCATTATAATTTGTTGTAGAACTGTTAGCGTGGCATAAAAAATTTGTAGTTTTTATGCTCAAATTTGATTAGTTTGAAAAAAATATTTTACAAATTCTTAAAGTCTACTTAATTTAGAATTTCAGGTGTTCTGTTTACTGAAACTAAAAATTACATTTAAGTTTGTTTTTATTTAAAGAAAATTGTGCTGAAACCAGTTGGATACTTAAAAAAAAGGTGATAATATATTAAAAAATCATTTGGAGAAAGAAACTGATGGCAGGAAATATTTTAACAGAAGAGTTCATAAAAAAAAAACAGATTTTAAGGTTTAAAATAGCAATTATATAACTCTAATTAATAGAATGTTATCAACAATACATTAGGTATTAATTTTTTTATTGCATGCCTATTTATGTGCATAAAAACTTATATACTTGACAACACAACTATTTTTTGTAAGCCACATATTTTATACATCAACACATCTTTAAACATTTTCATCACATAAAAAAATCAATGGAAGAAAGTACAGCCGACCCTCAATCCAAAAACCCCAGGTTTTCGTAGGAAAACAAACACTAAGGTCATTATATGGTGAATATGCAAAAGTACCATGAATATTTACTCATAAATTTAAAAATATAACATTAATTTAAACAAAACAATGGTATTATTTAATAAAAATCAAAAAACTAATAAAGTGATTGATAATTAATTATGCAACTTGCCTTTTTTTAAGATGTTAATATAGAAAATTTTAGTAACATCTGTTGACATCAATGAAATAAGCATTTTAAACACACATTTCAAAAATGAAAAATGTTAAAACAAAACACTATTTACAACTTTTAGATATTTATTTCATACAATACAAACAATCCATTGCGGTATAACTATGTCAACTAAATTAAAAGTGGAAATCTAAATATTGCATAGTGAAACCTTTCCTGAGCGACCACTCTGTTCTACAGTAAAATGGTTGTTAAAGGAGGTTGGTCATTCTTAGGGGTTGCCTCTATTGACTTAAATGTAATCAAAAATACATGATTTTTCACAAGCGACTTTAATTTTATTCACTGTCATTTTCTTAGAGCGGAAGTACCACTCAGGTTGGCTTTATGAAAACCAAATCGATGAATAATACTTAAAGTCAATAAATGCGAGCCCTAATTACGTGTAAAAACAAATTTACCAATTATGAATGATAGAACTATTTTAAATAAATAAACAATTATGTTTGTGGGGTCTAAATTTGCATCTAATTTTATATCATAAGAATTAGTAAACTTTAAAAATGAGAAGAGGTTTGTTTGCTTGAGATGCTTAGTCTTTTCAAAAATAACTTTTCCCCCCCATTTAACTTTCAACTCTAAAAATTATCATTGACAGCATCGTCTATAATGCACTCTGAATGCAACATGAGGTTGTCGATCTCTCTCAAATCTTCAAAAAAAGCTCTCCAAATAAGAGCCAGTCACAAATATTTTTAATATATTCAGTTTACTTATTTGTTTTGCGAAATATTTTTCTGTATTTCCTTATTTGACCTTTTTTGCATTTGATGATGAGGTTTTGATGGTCTCTCCTAAAAGTTTTCTTCGACACAAAGTTTATGGAAAAAATTCCGTGCCTGCAAAAAGTAAACAGAGTAGAGGTTGTCTTTCCTGGAGGTTTTACTGTATAATGAAAATGGATTGTAAAAATAATATTTCCAAATACACTTTTGATTACAATATAGGTATACAATACAATATGTGGTATAGTATAAAAATATAGATTATACATACAGTATGTAAAAAGAATAACACAGTAAAAAAATAGCTTGATAAATGGCTTGAATATTAAGTGCTTTGAAAAAAGAAAGCCCTTTTTAAACCGATGTGACAAGTTACTTCTTAAAATAATCTCGTAATAACCTTTTTTCTACCATAATATGTATTATAGTATAAAAATATTGCTTATACATACAGCATGTAAAAAATAATACTATATGTAACCAAGAAAAAAAATCTCTAGATGGCTCGGATATTATGTGTTTTATGAAAAATATTTTTAAACTAATATGATAAAAGTTACTTACAAAACTATAAAAAATACAATTTCTGTTCCATTTATAACCACATGATTAAAAGACTTTTATGTTTTTACAGTAAATCTTTGCAATTTATATATAATTTTATAATTTGTATGTCTCAATTCACATTTATTGGTCTTGTTAAATTTTTTTGATTATCTACATATTTTAACTATTTCACATGAAAAACTAGGAAAAGTTATTTAAGATTGTAGTCTTTCATTCTCCGTAAATCTGCAGAGCAAGCAACAGAAGCCTTGTCAAAAAACATGAGTGATTATTAACAGTAAATCACTAAGACTTACACATCACCAACACCAAATAATAAAAGAAAAAAAAACTAATGTGCAGTTATATTCTATACATTAGTCCATGATAAACACTATATTAAGAATCACTCTTTATTAAGACTTTTGGTCTGGAAAATATTTTGATTCCTTCTTCCGCTTTTGCAAGTTGTCGTTCCAATTCTTCTTTTTGATTTCTTAAGCGCATAGTGTCATTTCTAACAGGAAGTGCTGCTAAAATCCTAATCAATTCTTCTTGATCTAAATAAAAAGAAAAATGATTCAATTCACACAAATCAAATTTCAAGTCAAGAGTGTAAATTTACTTTTGATCCACAGATATAGATTTTGCTTAAATTCTATTATACATTTAAAAACAAATGTCAAAAACAGACATTTTAGGAACATGATAACTGGATGGAATTACAATTACATAATAATAAATGTAAATAGTAATTTACTTTAAAAATCATAAGAATAAATAGAATATTATTATTTTTTCCGAAACTCTAATGTTTTAACTCTTTCATCATCAGACCAAAGAGTGTAACCAGTAGGAATGGAAGAATCCTCAAATATTTTTCTATCATCTTTCTTTTTCAATTATAAGAATCAATTCAAAAATAACAAGAATAAATATAATATTTGTAATATTTACTTTTTTTCAGCAACTCTAATGTCTCAACTCTTTCATCATCAGGCAAAAGAGTGTAACCAGTAGGTATAGAAGAATCCTCTAATATTTTTTGTTGCCTTTCTCTCTCAATTTCCCATTCTTTTTTTCTTTTGGTCAAACTATAAAATATTTCTCAGATATAATAAATTTAATAATCATAATAAAAAATAGAGTATGTAAATTAAATTATAAAAAATGACAGAACTTGCAGCAATAATTGCCTTTTTTATAAGTTTAAAAGGTTCTAGAGTGATTTCTATGAAATAGACAACAAACAAATATTTGACAACTTGTTGATATATAAAGCATCATGTCATTAAATAGTTAAAGTAAGTTATTAAATTTTGTTAGTGAAGGTTATTATTCTAAGTTATTATTTGTATCATCAGAAAGAAATTGATTGACAAATAAATTAATATAATACATACTTTCAGCCGTTTATAATTATTAGATTTATAAAATATAGTATATCGATTGCTACTATTCCTACGAAAGTAATCACTGAACTAATTATGATCAATACAATAATTTAGTCTACTGAAAGGATTCTTAATACTTCCACTGAAGTTCATATTTCTTAAAGAATGTTATAACACACAAGAATTGCTTTCGGTTGAAACTTTCTGATTACACATAATACGCAAAAAGAAATCTGGATCCATTAACAGATCCTTTATAAAGTAGTAGGTCTTTTCATAAATTAATTTAAATTTTAAACAAACCTCTTTACAAAATATTTTTTCCTGAAAACCTACCTTTTACATTATATTTAATTTTAAAAATAAAACTTTCAAATGATAGATCTTTTAAAAAACAGAGTTGACAATGTCTTTAGTTCATAATTTTATAATTACAACTTCTTCAAAATCATAAATTTTATGATTTTTTTCTACATTTGCCTTATTTCTTTTGCCTTATTTTATTATCTTCATATGACGATTTTTGATTCAGAAAATTGTGAGATGGTGTAGATTTTTTACAATAGTAGGATCTTTCATAGTAGTCAAGATTGACATATATTAAAACTTACCCACATGAAATTATTTCCACCATCATTGACCTTATATGAGAGTTTCTTTATAATTATTATTTATTTGTAATAAACAAATTGACAATATTTTTTATTTAGCCATTGACAATTAACTGCGAAATTATGAATTTTCCCCATGCAGACAGATATGTGCTAAGCATAATTGTTTTTGTTATCGCTAATGCACAGAAAAACCACATTTCTGTTTTTTATAATAAATATGTTAAAATTAGCTTTTTAAATGTTGTAAAGTAATCTATAAACCAAAAAGTTTTTTGATATGCTTAAATTTAAAATAAAAATAAGAACAAGCAGTGGTCTAAAAATATTACACTGTTCTATAGTTAACAACTACCCTCTGGCAAATGTAGTTAATTACAACCACAACTTCTTTAAAAATAAATTAGTGACTACTAACTACTTTTGAAATAAAGTCACTACTTCAATACTTTCAGGAGACGAATTAAGACTGAAAAACTTAATTTACCATCAAGTTCAAATTGGTTTTGAATTATAACTTAAGGAATTATAAAGGTAAGAAATGCTACGAAATTATCAAATACTTGCAATTTTTTAAAGTGTTTAATGGTCTTTTATTTCCTCTAAGAAATAAAGTACATCAAAAACTGCATAGCAAGGATCTTCTCCATTTTGAATAACATGCACATCCTTTTAGTGTTTGATGAGCGTACAATCACGTTTGAAGGTACGACAATTCTATATAGAGACTGGTGATTTTGAAAGTGATGGACAAAATTTGCAAGCTAACTAAAAAATTTCCATTTTTATATTTTTAGATCACTTTAAAATAAGAATTATACGCTGGTCAAGACATTTCAATGCTCCCATCATGAACCTTTCAAGTAGCTACCATTTTGAGTACTAATAAAGACAAAAGCTACTGTTGTGAAGAAATCAAATTATATACATGTGATTTCGATTACATGATTTTCCAAAAAAAAAAAAAAAAAAAAAAAAAANAAAAAAAAAAAAAACAATAAAAAAAAAACAACTGCTGTCAACTTCATGAAAAAAATGCTGCTTTGAAGCATCTGATGTAATTCTCACAAATACTCAATCAGAGAGAGATTATCATCACATCAATTGAAAGACCCACATAATATTTGCACCAATTAGCTTAGAAACATTAAAGCATTTGAACATTGTTTCTTTACTTAATTGATGTGGAAAGTAGATGCCAGGAATCATTATAAATTGCTATAATTTTTTGGTATCATATTACTTAATACAAATTACAAAAAAATAGCAGCTAGACTAGTTCTGCTAATTGCTACTTCCAATCACTGAGAACAGTATATCTTGAATAAATAAACTCTGCAAATTTAACAATAACATTTATAAGTAAATAAAATCTGCTAATGTTTTAGAAATTACAAAAATCTTATATAATTTTTTATACGAAAATCGAAAAACAATATATTGTTCAATCACATCTGTAACATTAAAGAATACTAGATATCTTACTACTGTGGAATTTGGCCCATTTGGTGTCGCACTTTAGGCTTTAGCTCTATTTCTTTTGAAGTATTAGAAAAACTGATTGGTTTACGAGTGCCCCAAAGATTGCTTTCTCTGCTTTTTATTATCTATAATAAAAAGAGTTATTTAGAACACAAATCAACAAAACAAATATTTTCCTTGCATTTATTAATTTTTGAAAATTTAAACAGCCTCTGAACACATGTAGTGATTCTAAAAGTAAAAAATACTTGGTAAACACTGTTTCAATGATTTAAATCATCAAATAACTCTTGCTAAAAATCTTTTACCTTTTACTAACTATACTAGATTCTAAGCAAATCATTATTCAACTAACAATTTTTGGTTTTGAACAAGCCTAAAAAATTTGAGTAGCCTGAGGATTTTTATGTATTTAAATAAAAACAATCAAAGAATCTTTAGGCCAAATGCTTTCTTTTTTTTTTTTTTTTAATATTATTTTTCTTCTAATGTGAGTAAAGAAAAATAATTTTTACTACAGTTCACTCATAAATTCAAAGTAGATGCTCATACGCCAAATGAAATATTCTTTATAGTTGTTTTATAGTTCGTGTGTTTTAGGCAAATTATTTTTATTTGTAATTTTGCTTTCACAAAGATTAAAGAAAAATTGTCTTCATCACATTTTACCCATAAATTCAAAGACCTTTCTACCCCAAATGAAATATTCTTTATATTTGTTTTATAATTTGTATGTTTTAGGCAAATGCTCTATTTATTTGCAATTTGGTTTTCATTGATAGTAAAGAAAAGTGATTTTTACCACACTTTTCCCATAAATGAGACCTTTTAATCCAAAAATAGAATATTTCTCAAAGTTGCTCTATAATTAGCGTTTTTAGGCAAATGTTTTTTTATTTGCAATTTGGCTCCAAATGAGATTAAAAAAACAAACCCATTTTCACAATAGTACTATTTTTTTCAGTTCACAAAGTGCACTCATAAATTAAAAGACCCAACTTTTACTCTGAATCGTCAAATCGGATAATCCTCCTGATTGCTTTATAATAAAAGTGTTAGGTAAAAAAATACTAAAAAAAACTTTAGTAATGTGGAAATATATCAAATTCGATTCTTCCCCGATTGATTTTAAAGTGATAAAATTTTAAAAATACTGTAGACCTGTTACAAATTTATGCCAGATTTTTTTAGAAATTAAGTTTTGGTCTGTAATAAACTGATGAGGATATTGAACACAGATTTAAAATTGCATAAATTTCTTTTATATAAGCATAGCTAAATCAAGATAACAATTTAAGAAAATCTTACTAACCCGTTCACTTTCTTCTATTTGATTTAAACGAGGAAGAGATTTGGATGTCTGAAGTTTTTCATGAATTTCAGACTTTGAACTCAAACATGGAGAGCTAGGGGGATTTCTTCTAAATGGTCCAGCTGTTTTAGGTGGGACAACATTTCTATAGGTCATGTTTTCCTTTATTGATGGATCCTGTATAATAGAGTTACATATAGTATTATGACAAAGTATTATAAAAAAATGTTGGAAGTAAAACAAAAAATTTAAATATCAAAATTTTTATTTTTTGGTGTCTGTAATATATAAAAAACTAATATTATTTACATTTACAAAGCTATACTTGGCAAAGGGTATAACAAGAATTCAGAATATAATATCAACACAAATTTAGAATAATACAAAACATGCAACCAAAAAGTAAAGAGACTGACGATCAAATAACTAATACTTTTTGTGCAACATAATACACAATTGCAGTGTAAAATAGTTCATGTGGCTTACGATGCACATCTAACTACATTTAAAAAATCTGTCATTGAGATAGTTTTAAGTCTTTTAAAAACAACAGCCTTTGTTTGTAAATCTGAGTCCTGATAACATAAATCTGATGCAGCCTCACAAAATGCAAATGCAAAAATCTTCTGCCCACTGTTAGGATGTAGATGCACATGAGGATGCTCCACGCAGAAAACCTCTATGTTTCACAGAAAATTTCCAAAGCATTAAATAAAAATAATTCTTTTCCATTTTGAAGAAATTAATTCATATTATAGAGTGATAATATGCTTTTTATTACATAGATAAAAATAACATGTATTAAGTTAGAATGAACATATAAATATGTAATTTTTTTTTATCACAAATAATGATCAGAACATAAATAACTTAAACCTATTAAAGCTTTCAGTTAATTTTATTTTTAAATTAATTCACATTATGTAATTAAATAATTATGATACAAACTTACCATTGTAAGCATTGATTTGGCGATTTGGATAGGTATTAAACTATTATTTTGTAACCGCAATATTAACGCACCTTGTCTAATCCGAAAACTGGCAGATCAAACTTTCAAGTTCTTGAACCATCTCTAAAACTAAATATTGATAGAACTCTAAAATCTAGAACTGATCTTTTCATAGAATAAGATACTATAGATCAGAGTAAAGTTTAAAAAAACCTAACCAGGGTGAGTTTTATTGGTTTTTTTCAGGTTTATTATTACCTAGTTTAATTCTTTTTAGGTTTAAATGTTAACTTTTAATTCAAAAGAGAACAGTTTTATTAAAAAGAAAACTTTCATAGGAAAATAATTAAATAATGAATTAAAAAAAATAGCTTTAATTTTAAGGTAGTGCCATCTTTTCACGCTGATATTGATAAAGGGCTCTTAAATCAATTCTAATTTGACTAGAAATAAAAGCATAATATTGGGGGCAGAGAAAAAAGCTGTTTTCTGTTTTATTTATTTGTGTTGTTGTTTTATTTATAAATATTAAGATATAATTTAACTTCTTTTTGTTAAAATAAAGTTTTTTGCAGACTAACTAACTACTAAACTATAGTTAATTCTACAATTTAGTTTCTTGAATTGCTTTTAAAACTATATTTAGAATTAGTTCTGCTGCGAATTCAATAATTAATGTGAATAAAATAATTAATTAATCATGTAAACTTTTATTAAATATAATTTATAATGCAAAATAAGTTAACATCAATTTTATATTATTCTGTACTTTATCATGGTTTAAAGTTACACATTTATCTAAATACACTATGTTTTGAAAGTAGGGTTATGCATATTTGTGTATTATGTAACAATTGATATAAGGGCAGATTTTGATTATGTTCATAAAAAAACCCCAAAAAACACACAATTTTTTTTTTTTTGGAGGTTTGTCTGAGGGTCAAAAACTCTGGGTCAGAGGCAGCAGTTTAAGCTTACGACTCTCAGAACAAATTCACCAAATAGATATAAATATATCATAAACTGCACTGAAATAAAAAATTTTGGCAAAAACTCTGCGTCAGAGGCAGCAGCTTAAGCTTATGACTCTCAGAACAAATTCACCAAATAGATATAAATATATCATAAACTGACTGAAATAAAAAATTTTGGCAAAAACTCTGGGTCAGAGGCAGCAGCTTAAGCTTACGACTCTCAGAACAAAATCACCAAATAGATATAAATATATCATAAACTGCACTGAAATAAAAAATTTTGGCAAAAACTCTGGGTCAGAGGCAGTAGCTTAAGCTTACAACTCTCAGAACAAATTCACCAAATAGAAATAAATATATCATAAACTGCATTGAAATAAAAAAATTAATATCATATATATATCTATTGCAATTAGTTAACTTTTTGTCCTTCACGGTATTATGAGTATTATTACTATTATCTGAAATACTAATATTGGGTTCTTAAACTACAGAATCATAAGTTTGGGTGAGAGTTACATCTTGAAAAATGTGAATTTATAAACCAAAGACTAAAACGCTCTAACCATCAATTTTTTTTGTTTATTTAAATGGTTTTTAAACTAAATAAATGCCTTTATAAATACGCATCTTACATAGAATGATTTTGGAAATTATACTGGAAGAAATTAAACTAAAAAATTATTATTAACAAATAAATATTGTTAATATTAACTTCTAATTCTAAACCAAAAATCTAAATACTTACATCAAGAAAGTTTTTCTGTGCTTGATAATACCTATGAGGTACTCGAAGAGGTTCTAATGTCTGTTTTTCTTCTAATTTCTTCTTGGCACAAGCTTGAATCTCTTTCAACCGTTTAAGGTTTTCTTTCAAATAATTTTTTTGTGGAGGTTCTAAAAATGAGAAATCATGCAATAATTAAGGCAAACTTACAAAATAAATTCATAAATACCCAGGTATTTATAAATTTTGGGTATTTACTTACACTTATAAAAACTCTGGTATTTTACATCCATATCTGGGACTCATTCATATTACTTTCAAGCAGAATCTAAACATTTCACATTTTTACTATTATTTTATAATTTAATTTTATAACCGTTGCTGAACAGCCAACCCAATTTTATGGGTTTACGACTATTAATGTTCAACTCTGTAGCCTTGAAATTTTGAACCCAATCCAGATGACGAGGGAATTCCTGCATCTAGTGTTGGGAGAAATTTTGCTTTCGTGGAGGACTTTTTGATGAAGCTAACCCGCATTTGCGTTACATGGAGAGGAAGATCACGAGAACCTCCCACGGTTAGCCTCACGGCAAGGGGACTCTAACCCATGATCCGTTTCCCACTGAGGATTTTTCACGTCAGCACTGTGGTCGGCGCCAGCCGGATGTGGAATTTGTATTAACTGGGATGCGGGATTCGAAACCGATTCGCCTCATTGGAAAGCGAATGCTACATATCACCTGAGCCATCGCGGCTCACATTTTTACTATTACAGCATTTTGTTAAAATTAGTCCCCAACAAATAATTTTTTTTTAAATACTTTTTATGACTCAAGGAAAATAGCTGTGCATCCCAGCCTTATGACAATATACCACAGAAATTTGCTTCGTAAGTAGGTAAAGGAAGTATACGATAATTTACTTCATTCTGAGAAAAATGTCACAGTTTTGGATGCAATTTATAAAGTTTATCCTGCATTTAAAAATAATAAAAAGCAGCATGGATAAGAAATCATGGAAGGCAATTTTAATTGGATAAGTAGGAAAAAATAAAATTCCTACAGATGACAATGATAGTGCACAATTAATCTTAGAAGACTTGAGAAAGTTGACTCGTTCTAAAAGTACAGATGAAGAAGTAGTGGAACAATGGATTAACAAAGCTGAGATATTAGATTGTTGTGAAATTTCAAGTGACAATGCTCCATGTAATATGTTCAGAAGAAACAAGAAATTTTTGAAGAATGTCCAGAAAGTCATGAACAAAAATAATTCCCAGTAGCGCGTTTGTATACACTGAGATGTTACTTAATTACATGGAGTAAGAAGATGAAAGCAGATCCACAAGAATAATGATGTGCAGTGTTTTATTGCATAATAATTTTACATTTTCTATAACTTTTTCATCAAAATTTGCATAGATTGGATTATTTAGGATTTTGGCTTAGCTGAAGAAAAGCATTTCCAGACCATCCTGGTTAATCGAGATTCTTCTGTAATAGTTATGCTTACTTGGTTTTTCAACAGGCCCTCTAGCTTCTTTGTGAATTTCTTGTAGTAGTTTTGTCAGTGAGTCTGACTGGTTATGCCATTTTGGTACAGATCCAACTGTATGTGGTCGCTGGGGAAGTTCGTATTCCATGACAATATGCTAAATAAAAAAAAAGCATTTTTAATTCTAATACAGAAAAAAAACTAAATAAAAAGAAAGATTTCCATGTTGAGAACTGCGACAAAATAATCACCGAATTTCGGTATCTTCCGGGCAACAGACCGAGGGATATTAATAATAAAAATAAAAAAAATGACAGAAGGTGACTAACTCGATAGGTATAACTCATAGCTACCTCTGGGCATTCCTCTACATGCTTCTTTAAAAAAATTTTAACTTTAAAATCCATTTGACGCCTTGGCGATTGTAGTTGGCCTGACAAATTACAATATGGAAATTATATAATAAAATAACAAGGAATAGTTGCTTTAAAAATCTTATGTGTATATGTCTCTATAAATTAGGAAAGCGGAAAATAGATGCGTTCATGTTTTATTACACCTAAAAATCGTACAATCAACAACCCAGGACATAAATAGATTCTAGACATGTGATATAAATACTTTTTCTCCTCTCAGTTGAAATCTGCTAAAAAATTTCTTTTCATCAGATTCAATAAGTAGTATGATTTCTTATTAAGTAACAAAACGATTAACAAAATACCTAAGTGAATGAAATAAAAAAATGAAGAAGCAATAAATTAACTTAATATTCGAGCGAAATACTTTACACAAAAGATATTAAATGATATTTAAATAGATTATAATAAGTTTGAAGTAGCTATTTATGCATTTTGAATGGTAGTTATTTAAACTTTAGGTTTCTTTTAGCACGAAATAAATAAATTACGACAGATAAAATACTTAAAAAATTTAACACGAAAAATTAGGAAAATAAGACAATAAGTCAATTAAAATGTCAAAAGACTTGAAAATTATTACATTGCTTTCCGATTTTTTCAACACATTACAAGAATTACAATTATATCGATTAAAACTTAAGATTATTTAGAAAAATTAGTACTAATTTTCTGTAACTGTTTAAAAGGATAAAAAAAATCTTACTCAAAACATTATCGATTTTTCAATTTCACGGGAGACGAGCAAGTGGAACACAAAATAAACAGTATTGATTGATTGATTTTACTCATAAAAATTTTATGAGCTAGCTTTTGTCTCTATAAATTTAAAAGAAGTAGTAGTAGTAGTAGTACTTTATTTACGTCGCACTAAAGCTGCACAATGGCTATTAGTGACTGTCTGGGAAACATCTCTGAGGCAGATTCAATCACAATTTTGATCCTCTGCGAAGGGATGGTACTCCGTTCTGGTAGCCCTATGACTAGCGTAAAGTGCTGCAGTGATGCTTGACTTTGGCGATACACTGGGAACCGCGCCTTTACGATCGGACTACGGGACTTAAAAGTTTTATTTCAAATACACTTGATGCCTAATCACCCAAGTAGGTTAGTAAGGAACTAAAAAAAATCAGGTGTGTAATATTATAATTTCATTTTTATTTCTCAGTACAAAATGCTTTCCCACGCTCTATGGAGACATTGTGGGGAGCTCATGTCAACAATGAAATTGGCATTCATATGAATAAAACAAAATCAAGATGAACTGATATGACAGAAGTGAAAAGAATTTTGACATTATCGTAATTAAGTTTGTGCATTGTGCCCAAGGTTGTAGCAATGAGAGTACTTTTGAGAACAAACATATCTTCTGAGCTCTCTTAGTGGAAATTTTAAAGTGCGTGTGGTTTTCACAATGTAGCCAAAGTTGCTCTAGAGAGGCATTCTTCTTCAGTCTCGACCATCGCGGTTTTCCCTTTTTAATTAACCTTTACTTTTCATTGACAATGATACATTTTATCTTCAAATTATTTTTCGAACCCACTTTTTTTAAAATCAATATTCTAATCCACTATCTTTCTATCTGCATTCAAACCTGCTATAATTTGATCAATTTTTCTAAGCATGTATTTGTGTTGTTATGTATTATTTCAGTACATATTAAATAAACGAGCAGGATCTAGCATCTCGCAAACACATTTAATAACAACCTAACGAGATACACAAACACAAACTGAAACTAAACATAAATACAAACTGAAACTATAACTAAACAGTTAATACACAGTTACAGTTAATCTGGCTGATGCCACATCTCCCCCCCTTTAAAGATTTAGTCTATTGGGAGCTTTCACAATTCTTCCAGAGCGAGTCACAACAGTTTTTGGAGATACATCCTTCTTCTGAGTTAACACTGTAGGATCTGGATCCGTTATTTCTGGTAAGCTCCTTTTGTTATCTCTTTCTGAAAGAGCTTCCTCTAAATCATCGTTTAGCGGTGGAATCTGTAGTTTAGATCCTGGAATCAAATGTTTCCTATTCCGTCGAAGCACTTGTTTGCCTTCTTTAACAAAGTATGACCTTGGTGATTCAGCTTTTCTCTGTACAGTTCCAACAGCCTTCCTATCAGTTATCCATACCTTGTCACCCGGATGTATTGGTTTCAATTCATGAGCATTGTGCCTCCGATCATAATCCTTTTTCTGTCTTTCTATTCTTTTCTCTTCTTTTTCTTCCAATATCTCCTTCTCTATTAGCTTTGGTTGAAGTAGTGAAATTGCTAAAGGTAAGGTTGACTGTAGTCGACGCCCCATCAACAATTCAGCAGGACTGTAGCCGTTCTTTAAAGGTGTTGTCCGATAACTCAATAAAGCCAAGTAAGGATCTTTAGACTTTTTGAATCTTAATTTAATTATCTTCACTGCTGCTTCAACAAAACCGTTGCTTTGAGGATATCTTGGACTTGAAGTAATGTGCTTAAAACCGTATACTTTTGCAAAGTTTTGAAACTCTGCTGTTCTAGTAACTTCAAACTGTGGTCCATTATCTGATCTTACAACATTTGGAATTCCATGTCTGGCAAAAATTGATTTGCAGTGTAAAATTACTTCTTTTGATGTTAAACTATCCAGTTTTGCCACTTCTGGATAACGTGAGTAAAAATCTGTAACTAATAAATACCATTCTGCATGGAGTTTAAATAAGTCCATAGCTACAATTTCCCATGGTCTCTGAGGAAAACTAGTTGGTTTCAAAGGTTCAGAACAGTTTTTAGCTTCCTGTATACATGAAGGACAGTCCCGAACTAATTCCTCTATTTGTTTACTGATGCCAGGCCAGTATACTGCTGAATTCGCTAAAGCTCGACATTTATTAATTCCCATATGCCCTTCATGGATTTTGCCCAATATTTCTTGTCGTAGCCTATTTGGCACGATTATTCGGTTTCCTCTCATTAACAAGCCATTCTGTATGGAGATTTCATATCTTAGAGGCCAAAAGGGTAAACAGGATGGTACTATCTGGTTTTTCTCCGGCCAACCTTGAGAAGCGTAATTGATCAACATATTACATGTTGAGTCAGTCTCTTGTTCTAGTTTTATCTGGGAAAGTCTCTCTGAAGACATCGGAACAGATTCTAAAACTTGATTGATAAAAGCTTCAACTTCCTCTTCCAATTCCAGATTTGGAGTTTCTTGTTGATGTGGTGCTCTAGATAGTGCATCTGCTACGCAAAGATTTTTCCCAGGAGTGTGGAAAACATCAAAAGAATATCTCATGAGCCTCATTTTGAGACGTTGTAGGCGAGGTGTTAAATCATCCAAAGATTTTCTAGTAAGTATTGGGACAAGAGGTTTATGATCTGTCTCCAAAAGAAACTTGGTACCCATTAGATAATTGGAAAATTTTTCGCATGCCCATGTAAGTGCAAGGGCTTCTTTTTCTATCTGAGCATAACGTTGTTCAGTAGGAGTTAGAGTTCTGGATGCATAAGCTACCACCTTGATTGTAGAATCATGCTTCTGACACAGTGTGGCTCCTAATCCATAAGAAGAAGCATCGGCTGTAACAATTGATTGTTTGTTTGGGTCATAGATGGTAAGTATAGGTTCAGATAACAAAATGTCTTTTAACTTTTTTAGTGCGGTTTCCTGAGGAGAGTTCCAAACAAATTTATTCTTTGTGGATAACATAGAAATCAAAGGCGCCATAATATCTGAAAATCGTGGAATAAATCTTGCTAAATAATTTGCCATTCCAAGTAGCTGTTTCAGTTCAGTTTTGTTTGTTGGGCTTCTGAAATTTTGTATGGCTTTTACTTTGTCCTGATCTGGGTGTATTCCTGAGTCATCAATGACATGACCAAGATATTTTATAGATTTAACAGAGAAACAGCATTTTTGTTTATTAAGAGTGATTCCCGTTTCTTTCAGACGGATTAAAGTAGATGTTAGACGTTCATCATGCTCTTTTTGATTTGAACCCCAGACGAGTATATCATCCATGTGACATATAATACCAGGAAGACCTTCTAAAGCTTGTGACATTCTACGTTGAAAATGTTCTGGAGCAGATGATATTCCGAATGGTAGACGTAAGAAACGAAATCTGCCAAAGGGTGTGATGAATGTTGTGAGATATGAAGATTCTTCATCAAGAGGAATTTGCCAAAACCCAGAGTTTGCATCTAATTTCGAAAAGATTTTCGCCCCAGCCAAAAGTGATAAATTGTATTCTGTTGTTGGCAATGGGTGCCATTCTCTTTTGATGCTTCTATTGAGTGTCGTCAAGTCGACACATATTCGCACACTTCCATCTTTTTTTCGTACTACCACTGCAGGAGAACACCAATCAGTAGGTTTTTCTACCTTCTGAATAACATTTAATTCTTGCATTCTCTGTATTTCTAGTTTAGTTTTCTCCAGAAGTGGTATTGGAATTCGACGTGGAGAAGTTAGAGCATATGGTTTAACATCACTATTAAGTTCAACATGGTAACTTCCTTTCAGTAAGCCAAGTCCTTGAAATAACGAAGGAAATTCATGAAAAGGATTAAAACTTGTAATGTTGAGCACAGACTGAGATTGGATATTGGGACCAAGTCCAAAAAATTTTATGGCAGGTTTTCCTAATAAACATGTTTGGAGTCCTTCTATAACATAAATTTCTTCTAAGCACTTTTTTCCATTATATTCAACATTTTCAAGCAGTTTTCCCATTAACTTCAAGGGTGTTTTATCGGGGCCAAAAATCACTTTATCTGCACTTTTTAGTTCTGCATGTTTGAGTACTGTGGAGGCAATACTGCTTGGAATAACAGAATAGTCTGCACCACTATCAATTTTAAATTGGATGCATTTTCCTAGTATTTTAACAGGAACAACCCACTCATCTGTGTTTTGTGTACTTCCCACTAGTCCTACAAAACCAGCATCACAAAGTTCATTGACTCTTTTAATAGTAGATAAACAAACATTATCCCAATGTCCTCTTTTCTTGCATTTTCTGCAATTTGAGTCCTTTGCTGGGCAGTTTCTTTTTTCATGTGGCTGTTTACCGCACCATTTGCAATTTTTTCGCTGATAATTAGTTTTCGAATCTTGATATTTACTTTTCGAATCATGAAAATTACTTTTGTCTGCATTAGTTGTTTTATTATATTTCTTCTTTTGACTAATAGCATTAACTGTAGAATTTTCAACTAGTAGTGATTGTTGTTTCTTAACTGATTCCGAAAGACGTACTTTGTCAATTGCAGTTTGCAGGGTAAGTTCAGAATCAAGTTGTAATTTTTCGCTTAAAGTTTGATCTTTAATACCAACAACTATACGGTCACGAAGCAATTCGTCATGTAAATTACCATATTCACACTTGTCAGCAAGAGCATATAAAGCAGTAATAAAATCATTGACAGACTCACCTTCTTTTTGAATTCGCCGATTGAACTGAGCTCGTTCGAATATTATGTTTCGTTTAACAACAAAGTGAGTGTCGAAACTATTCAAAACCTCCTGGAATTTCTTTTTATCCTCTTCCGATATACTGAGCGAAAGAAATATGTCCTCGGCTTTATCACCCATGACGTATATGAGAGCATCCACTTGTTCCTCTTCTGTTTTTGTTATTAGTCCAGAAGCAGTTCGGAAACGTAGAAATCTTTGCTTCCATTTAGGCCATTCCGAGGGAATCGAAAAAGGAAATGATTCTGGCGGCGTTATATGATATGCAGGAGCTGATGTCATGATGTAATTTCAGAATATCGAAGGAGAGTCAAAACTTACTGCGTTAATTTGTTTTCTTTTACCGCTGCCACCATGTGTTGTTATGTATTATTTCAGTACATATTAAATAAACGAGCAGGATCTAGCATCTCGCAAACACATTTAATAACAACCTAACGAGATACACAAACACAAACTGAAACTAAACATAAATACAAACTGAAACTAAAACTAAACAGTTAATACACAGTTACAGTTAATCTGGCTGATGCCACAGTATTCATAGACCAATACTTAAAACCACTATTTATCTATCGTAATTCAAAACCGCTTCAGATATTGGAACAATATCCGAAACTTCTTTTTAGATTAATACGTGAACCCATTATCCTTCTATCTGTTTTTGAACTTTCTATAACTTGATCAGCTTTCAAAACCAGTCTCTTTTGATCAATACACGAACCCGCTATCATTTGAACAATTTTTCAGGTACTTTACTCACGTCGCACTGGAGCTGCACAATGGGCTATTGGCGACGGTCTGGGAAACATTCCTGAGGATGACCCGAAAACTTGACATCGCCATTTTGATCCTCTGTACACGGGATGACTCCCCTGCTTTGGAAGCCCAATGACCTGCTCGCGAAGTCAAACACTTTAGAGTTGAACAGTTTAACGAGGACCGATACTTCGTACCCTCGGTCTCTACGTATTCTGATCAAAGTGGTCACCCACCCGCTTACTGACCTCAGTCATTGATGCTTGACTTTGGTGCTCTACGGGAAACCGTGTCTTTAAGATCAGTTCACTGAGGAGCAACAATTTTTCAACGCACTTTGCTTTGATCAATAATCAAACTCGATATCTTTCTGTGAGTATTCGAACCTGCAAGAATTTGATAAGTTATCTAATCCAATCACTTATGATAAATACTGGAATCCATTTTCTTCCTCTTCGAACTTATTATTGTTTGATCAGTCTTCAAAACCATCATCTTTTTCTCTAAGCCGTCTTTCATTTGATTAATTTTCAAAACCAATTAATTTTGATCGATACTCGAACTCACCACCCTTCTATCGGTAGTCGAACTTGCTATTATTTTGATCAGTCGTCAAAACCAGTCACTTTACTACTTGAAACACACAATTTTTTTTCAGTACTCAAATTTGCTATCATTTGAACTAATTTTGAGAATTTTTTAGATGCTCGAACCCACTATTTTTCTCTCAGTACGAAAGCCAATTTTTATTTAATTACTTTTTTTTTTAACTAGCCTCTTTTAATAATTACTCGAACCCTCTACCTTTTTAATCGGAACTCAAGTTAGCTACCATTAAAACAACTTTCAAGTCCGCTCTATTGTGATCAATACTTTTTACCCCTATCTTTCTATTGGTAATTTCTGTCATTTGAAACTAGACTTGATCAATACTCGAATCCCATGTCTTTTTCATCGGATTTTTACCAGCTGCCATCGGAAGTTCTTGAACTCACTCCTTTTAGACCAATGCTCGAACCTACTATCTTATTACCTGCAATCGATTCAGCACTTTTTTAAATAATTTTCGAACCCACTATATTTTAATCGATATTCGAACCGGCTATAATTTCAGTTTTCAATATTTGTCTCTTTTAATCAATACGCGAAATCACTATCTTTCAATCGCTACTCAAACCAGTTATCATTGGCACAGTTTTTTCAGATGAACATTTAACCTGTAATTTTTCTACCAGTATTACAACCTGCTATAGCTTGATCAGTGTTCCAACCCATTATTTTTAAATCGATACTCGAACACCCCATAATTGGAATAAAATTCCCTTTTTGATCAAGACTCAAATCCACAATCTTTCTACCGATAATCAAATCTGCATTAATTTTATCAATTTTTGTAACTCATATACTTTATTGTGATAACCAGTCGAACTCACTATTATTTTAACTGGTACTTGAACCTGCTGTTTATCGATCATTTTTCCGCATCCGCTAGCATTTGAACAATTTTTGAACTCACTCATGTTTTCTAGTCTAATCTGTTTTAATTAAAACTCAAACCCACTAGATTTCTCTGTACACGAAACTGCTATTGTTCAATCCGTTCTTAAAATTAGTGCATACCTTTTTATCAGGGTAACAAGTCCCTCAGTGGACTGATCGTTAAGACACGGTTCCCAGCAGATCACCGAAGTCAAGCATCACTGGCTGCGGTCAGTGTGCGGGTGGGTGACCACTTGGATCAGTCTGCGTAGGGACCGAGGGTGTGCGGTATTGGTCCTCGTTAAACTGTGCTACCGTAAAGTGCTGGACTTCGCGTGCAGGTCGTTGGGCTACCGAAGCGGGGGTGCCATCCCCTCTGCAGAGGATCAAAATTGTGATGGCATGTCTTCGGATCATCCTCAGGGATGTTTCCCAGACCGTCGCCAATACCCATTGTGCAGCTCTAGTGCGACGTAAATGCACTAACCTACCTACCGGTAACAAACCCACTCTATTATAATCAATACTTCTAAACATAAAATAGAACAATTACTCAGAGTTCTAAATGGTTTAATATATATATATGAATAAAATAGAAAAAAATTTGATGGAAAAACGTAAAGGTTCTCTTCAAGACACATTCGTTTACGATGGTAAAGGCAATATTTCAAAATAAAGAATAACTTTCCTAGGATACAAATTAATCTTTATAATGTGCCTATATTGCTAAAAAATAAAAATGCAATTGAAAATGTGTTTGAGATAAAAGAAAACAGAAAACAAACTTACCGACGTGATATAAAAGTTAAAATGTCGTAAAAATAGATGTACTAATCTAACAGTTCTCAAAAATTCGCTAAGAGGAAAAAGATATTAAACTAAAACAGTGTTTATAGCTTAAATCGTATAAAATATTTTTAAAAATATATTTGGTAGAAAGAATATGAAGCAAATTACATTTCAGCGCAGATACTTACAAAAAAAAAAAGAAAAAAAAAAAACACTTTAACAAGGAATATTTGGAAAATTTAAGTAACTAAACCCTTAATACAAAGAAAAATTGATTTAAAAAAATTTAAATTTATTAAAAAATTAAATTGCAAAAAAAACTTTAAAATGGGATATGCCAAGAATTAAGAACAGAAAATGTTTAAAATTGTTTTTTTTTTTAGTCCGAAACAAGCTAACCTGACAGCCTACATATAACTATCACAGAGGCGGACATTTTTACAATTTTTTTTTAAATTTTTTGCAATGAGGAAATAGTTTGAACCTTTTTCTATATTGTAAAGAGGGCGTAACTTTGAAAGAAAATGCAAATATCTGTCAATTAATATTAATTGAAAATGTTTAAAAGAATTTTGCTTAGTTTGAAACAAGCTACTCTGACAGCAAATATATTACTAACATAGAGGCGGACAGTTTGAGAATTTATTAATAATTTTTGGCAATGAGAAAATCGTTCGAAACTTCTTTTTCTATTAAAAAGTGAGCGTCAAACTAATAGAAAATATAAAGATATTTCAAGAAATATAAGTAAAAAATGTTTAAAATCGGCTTGTTTAGTTCAGAAGAAGCTACTCTGAGAGTAACCATATTGCAAATATGGACGGGGACATTTTGCGATTTTTTTAAATAATTTTCAGCAATCGTTTAAAACTTGTTTTTTTTATTAAAAAGTGAGCGTCAAACTAAAAGAAAATACAAAGATATGCTTAAAAAAATATAAATTGAAAATGTTTAAGAAAACGTTTGTTTAGCCCGAAATAAGATTCCCTGACATCATGCATATTACTAACATAAAGGCGGACAGTTTGCGAAATTTTTATAATTTTCAGCCATTAGGAAATCACTTGAAACTTGTTTTATATTGAAAATTGAGTGTCAAATTGTAAGAAAATACAAATATATGTCAAGAAATACAAATAGAAAATGCTTAAAAGACGTATGTTTAGTTCAAAACAAGCCAATCTGAGAGCATACATGTTACTAATATGGATGTGGTCAGTTTCAGAGTTTTTTTAATTTTTGGCAATGAGGAAGTCGCTTAAAGTTTTTTATTTAAAAGTGAAGGTCAAACTGTATGAAAATAATTAGATATATCACGAAATATAAATAGAAAATGTTTAAAAGAGGTTTGTTTAATGCGGAACAAACTAACCAGACAGCATATAGTCTATATATAGCATATAGGTCAAATGGTCAGCATATAGTCACATATTACATACATACAAGCGGACATTTTGCGATTTTTTTTATAAGGAGGAAATCATTTGAAGCTTGTTTTTTAATAAACAGTGATCGTCAAACTGTAAGAAAATACGAAGATATGTCAAGAAATATAAATAGAAAATGTTTAAAAGGGGTTGTTTACTCCGCAACAAGCTTACCTAAGAGCAAACAAATTACTGACATAGAGGCGGACATTTTTCGAAAGAATTCGGTTTGAAGCTTATTTTGTATTGAAAAATGTGCGACAATTCAAAAGGTAATTTAAAGATATTCCAACAAATATAAATAGAATTTTTTTTTAAAAATGTTCGTGAACTCCTATACAAGCTGCACTGGTAGATAAGATGAAGATAAATATCAAAAAAATCTTTATTATGAGATAAGACTTCGTTATCTGAAGAATATTTTAAATGCTATTTAACATCCCGATTAAAAATTGGAAAGAAAAAATTCGCATTAACGAAACTTCGTTGTAGAGGTATTCTTTGCATGCAGTTAGTTAATCATTTATCAAGCAAATAGTACACTATTGCAATCATTATTTCCGACTATACTAATGCATTAATCATCAAAATAGTTTTTCAAAGATTTTGGTTATAGTGAACCATCGCTTATAGTGGACTGCTATGTCCATAGACGGTTAAATATAGTGGAATTAGAATGCATTAATGTTGGAAAATTTACGTTAATGAATATGTTTAACATGTAAGCTAATCAATGACTTTTTTTTCTCGTTAAATCAATATGTTCCAAATATCATTATGTGTGCTAAGCATTTTTTTTAAAACTATTATTATGAAAGTGCAAAACAATAAAATTTAGTAAAATATAATAAGAAATCGATATATTTTCTGCTCAAAAATGGGATAAAGGTAATCTTATGGAATTAAGAAAATAAATATATTATTCTTTCTTAAATAAAGTATTTCTGGAAATATTGTTTTAACATTTTCTGGCCAGTTAAGCAAAGTT